GATGAGATTGGGAAACTTTTGCGTAGAATGTTTTCTGTGCTTTTACTAAAAAGCGAAATCTTTCTGCTATCGCATCCTCTGACGCGACAGTGCGTACGTAGAAGACCCTATCATTATTTTATAGTTATTTGATTTGTTTTTATGCAAATATTTTCAAATAGGTACTTCTACTTTTTTATGATTTGAGTATATGATTATGAACCACACAATCTATATTAACACAACTAGCTGTTACACACGGGCTTCACCCCGTTTGACTTCATAAGTATTAATAAAAATATTGGTTGGTTAAGTTAAACAGAAATTAGCAAAACATAATACAGTAATACAAACAAATAATAACACCTAAATTTAATAAGGTAATAAATTAAAATATTAACAAACAAATAAGTACAGCTGAGGTATTTTTAACATTAGGTATATAAGTGTTCCCTTTAGAAAGGAATTGCGACCTTAAAGGGCAATTTATGGCATAATGGATAGTTTTGCGCAAGGTTTCTCGTAATGACAAACATTTTAAGTATATGGTTTATGGGGGTGTGACTTGTATTTTTCTCATGTGGGATTTATGGATAGTAGTAGGACAAAAAACATGAATCCTTTTTAAAACCATATTAACTGGCCATCTTAGTACATATTATTCGTTCATTAATACATTCTTCCTCTTATGTAGGTTTCTAATATTCCGATTCCATAATATGAGTTATTAATTTTGTTTGCGTGATTTATGTAGACCTATATAAATCTTTTAAATACTTCACTGCTATTTCAGTAACTTAATCTCTAAAATGACATTCTAACGGTCCTAATTGGTTGGCGTGTACGGTTGCCTTAAAAATGTTATATTGTAATGCAGGTATCTAAAAATCCCCCCCCCACACACACACACAAAACGGATCACCGCGGGGTCGGGCTGGCTTCAACAAAACTAGAGCTTTTCCTCTATCCTCCTAAAATTTAATCCTCCTACATTCTAGCTGTGTTAAATTTGCTACTATAGTTCGGCCGCTTAGAAAGCGACCTCCTCCAGCATTAGTTTAGCATTAGCGCGCAAGTCGTTTTCTAAGCGGCCGAACTATACAGTCAAAATCATAAGGGCATTTGTTATTATTATTCAGTTTGTTTACGTAAATATTTCCTCAAAATCTTCATTATAACGAATCTTGAACTTTTTACTTTATCACTGTAATTTGGTAACTTTCTATGTAGTTCTGTTTGTACATCAGATGCATTTACCTATTATTGTTTTGTGTGTGCATTAGATCAATTATCATGGCTATGGAATAATCAATAATCAGTATCCTTAAGCATAAATGTCCTTTTTCCGAAAACTGTATTCATTAAACCCCATTACTCGTTATTATTTACTCGTTATAGTGCAATTTTCAACGTAATGCTGTTATTAACTGTTTTCCAGTAATTTATTGAGATCTTCCACTAGTATAAGGTTTGTTAGCTTGTTCAGTTAGTAGATTTTATGACCTGTTTATGTCAGTCGTAAAACTCCAAAGAACATTTCCTGTCCAATACAGTGTTCATAGTATTAGGTATTGGTTTTTCTTGGATATTTTAGTCTCCTTTTGTGTTAGTCGTGTGTTCATCAGAGCCGGCCTTAGGTACAATGCCCACACATTGGGTATAAAATACAGAATAATTTAAAAGTATTAAAATTTTACAATATTTATGTTAATTATAAAAAATTAAAAGGGGGAATTATTTTATCATCAATTTTTTGTTTGCACCATCCAAGGCCGGCTATGGTGTTTACAGTTGAAATCTATTTAAACTTCGATATCTATCGCCACTGATTTGACAGAATTTTTTAAAAAAAGAATCGTCTTTATTACCTTATATAACGTATCTATTAAATTTTGAAGTAATACAAATGTTATATAAAATTCTTTTCAACCCATTTTTAATGTCTTAAAAACAAATCATTTATTATGTTGAATAGTTGCTAAGGCTTAAAGTTAAAGAAAAACATTTATAAAAAACATGCAAAATTTTAATTTCTATGTTATTTATACATTACCTACGTAGAATAATTAAACCGTTGCAGTTTGCTTGTTTATGAACACAAAAATCTAAAACTACAAATGAAATTATTTGATCCAGAGGAATCATGGATCAGAGTTTCGGTAAAACATTACAGTATAATGGAACAAATTAGATATTATTCTAGTTAGTTGTTTTTTTATCTTTATGTTTTCCAACATGATTTTCTTACGTTTATAGTTTAAGGTTGTGTAAATAGATTATTTTCATACACGATATGTTTATAAAGTAAATAAAATAGCTTATTTAAATTTTTATCTTTTTGAAAAAGCAGTTTCATTTTGTTTCCCTTTCGTTAAGGTTACCTCTCCTCAGATTATACCTCAGATTTCTCCACAGATAATTGACTTGATTGCCTCAATCATATTCATAAATATTATATACTACGATGTATTTTACAATTGGAATAGCTCAAAGTTGTTGTGATGTGCATAGAAAAATATAATGAATTCTTATTTCTTGCAAGTTCCTATCAACCATATACATTTTGCCATATAACTTGGTAATTTAGATGACTGCCTCAATCATACTTATACAGATTATTCTACACATTGTATATTACCATTAGAATACCTCAAAGTTGATGTGATGGACTTAGGAAAAAGATTGTGCACTTTTTCCTGATGCGAGTTCCTATCAACCATATACATTTTGCCATATAACTTGGTAATTAAGGGGACTGCCTCAATCATATTTATACTGACTATTCTACACATTGTATATTACCATTAGATTACCTCAAAATTGATGTGATAGGCTTAGGAAAAATATTGTGCACTTTTCCTGACGCAAATTCCTATCAACTAAATACATTTTGCCATATAACTTGGTAATTTACTGGACTGCCTCAATCATAATTATACTGATTATTCTACACATTGTATATTACCATTAGAATACCTCAAAGTTGATGTGATGGACTTAGGAAAAAGATTGTGCACTTTTCCTGACGCAAATTCCTATCAACCATATAGATTTTGCCTTATAGCTTCGTAATTCACTGGACTGCCGCAATCATACTCATACTGATTATTCTATACATTGTATATTAGCATTAGAATACATCAAAGTTGATGTGATGGGCTTAGGAAAAAGATTGTGCACTTTTCCTGACGCAAATTCCTATCAACCATATAGATTTTGCCTTATAGCTTCGTAATTCACTGGACTGCCGCAATCATACTCATACTGATTATTCTATACATTGTATATTAGCATTAGAATACATCAAAGTTGATGTGATGGGCTTAGGAAAAAGATTGTGCACTTTTCCTGATGCGAGTTCCTATCAACCATATACATTTTGCCATATAGCTTCGTAATTTACTGGACTGCCTCAATTTATACTGAGTGTTCTACACATTGTATATTACCATTAGAATACCTCAAAGTTGATGTGATGGGCTTAGGAAAAAGATTGTGCAATTTTCCTGATGCGAGTTCCTATCAACCATATATATACATTTTGCCATATAACTTCGTAATTCACTGGACTGCCGCAATCATATTTATACTGAGTATTCTACACATTGTATATTACCATTAGAATACCTCAAAGTTGATGTGATGGGCTCAGGAAAAAGATTGTGCACTTTTCCTGATGCGAGTTCCTATCAACCATATACATTTTGCCATATAACTTCGTAATTTACTGGACTGCCTCAATCATATTTATACTGAGTATTCTACACATTGTATATTACCATTAGAATACCTCAAAGTTGATGTGATGGGCTCAGGAAAAAGATTGTGCACTTTTCCTGATGCGAGTTCCTATCAACCATATACATTTTGCCATATAACTTCGTAATTTACTGGACTGCCTCAATCATATTTATACTGAGTATTCTACACATTGTACATTACCATTAGAATACCTCAAAGTTGATGTGATGGGCTTAGGAAAAAGATTGTGCACTTTTTCCTGATACGAGTTACTATCAACCATATACATTTTGCCTTATAGCTTCGTAATTCACTGGACTGCCTCAATCATATTTATACTGAGTGTTCTACACATTGTATATTACCATTAGAATACCTCAAAGTTGATGTGATGGGCTTAGGAAAAAGATTGTGCACTTTTCCTGATGCGAGTTCCTATCAACCATATACATTTTGCCATATAACTTCGTAATTCACTGGACTGCCGCAATCATATTTATACTGAGTATTCTACACATTGTATATTACCATTAGAATACCTCAAAGTTGATGTGATGGGCTCAGGAAAAAGATTGTGCACTTTTCCTGATGCGAGTTCCTATCAACCATATACATTTTGCCTTATAGCTTCGTAATTCACTGGACTGCCTCAATCATATTTATACTGAGTATTCTACACATTGTATATTACCATTAGAATAGCTCAAAGTTGATGTGATGGGCTTGGGAAAAAAGATTATGCACTTTTTATGTTCGGAGTTTTAATTGATCGCGTTATGTTAAGCCATAGCTACGTATAATGTACACTACGGTCTCAAATATGCCTTTTAAAATAGGTCAATTAATTAGTTTTAACTTGTATACTCGTTTTATCAATGTATAATTGACATTATATAAATATAAAAACATCATTTCGCACCGTATTGTCATTGAATTGTGTTTCCGACATCCCTGCAAAACACGTTTGTGGCGTCCGCAGGAGTACCAACCCACATCTATTACAAACCGAAAAAGCGCTGATGAAAAGAGCCGCTAACTTCACGACGGTTTTATACACGTCATTACGTCAAAGCAAAGGGCAGGACGACTATTGAATTATTGAATTGATGTGATCCTATCTGATTCGATTGACTATTTTGACCACGACCACTTACCTACCAAATACCAATACAATACAAATACCGTACCGAAATGACCGATGCCGATACCGGATGCCTAACTATTGAGTACTGACTAGTGACTGACACTGGTGCAGTGGTGCACTCGTGTGTTCATGTAATCGTATCCGTCCGTATGTAGTGTATTTTAAGAGTAATCTCAAACTCAAACTCAATCTGTCCTTGAGCGTTTTGAACATTATTATATTGGACTCGACTACTGGGGCAAGATGACTGAAGAAACAGATTTATTTTGAGCGGGATAAACAAACTAACTAGCCTATTTTATAACATCACTACTAGTAGTCAGTAGTCACTACTAATTTATAGGTTAAACTAGGTTCTTGGCTAGAAAACTACTTGAAGAGTGTAATTAATCGCCGGTATTGTTAACTCACCTACGAATTCAAATAACTTAATTGCAGTGATTTTAAATCCAACATGATGAAAATGAATCCAGTATTACATGTAGAAATTCTTAGAAGAGAAACGAGGTAAGATTGGTTAGGGTAGGTGAGGGCCTAAGTCAATAAGATTTCTTTCAGTGTTTTAATTTTCCACCCAGCCCCATTTAGGCTAGTATGAAATAATGGTAAGGATTGAAGCAAATCCTAGTAATGTTTTACAGGCTAAGTGATAAAATTTACTTAAGTTAGGCCTAAGTTACCTATGTAAATAAATGGCTGAATCTTGTGTAGGCATACCAGAGGGAAATGAAGTAGGCAGGCCTAAACTTAGACATGAGAAGGTTTTTAACAATTTTGTTTTCTCTCAAACGAAGTCCTCTTGAAGCTTTGTTGTATTTAGCCTACTTTCGTTTAAACACATTTCACTCTCAGGATGATCACCAAATGAGGATAGGACCTAGGCTTATGTAAGTTAGGGATTCGGATTGCTAACAATCATTAAGCACGGCACAAGCACTTCCCCGTTACTGCAACCCAACCCCTTGGCTTCACCTTTCCATATGAAAGCATACTTATTTATCACCTAAATAGGCCATACACTTTGAACCACTGTCAATCCATTCAGACAATCAATTCACAAGTTGACCGTCTGTTGTCAGCATAATTAAAGGCCATGTTTTGGTTTAAGTGTTCTTCTTTATGTTATGCTCCACTGACAATGTCAATGCATGTGTGTTTTAAAATTCAAACATGTCTTAAAAACTACCCTAACTTAGATAAATAGGTAGTGTAGCGTCTCCGCTACAACAAGTGGAGTTTGTTTTTGTTTTGGCGTCCAATTGTCCATTTGTTTTTGTACCGAAAGTAGCCGTTGCCCATGACGTCACGCAGACGACTCGCGACGGTCACGGTCACAATAGCTAGATGTGTGCGCACCCCCTAATTTGCCGGCAATGAGGATTCGGTCAGTCTGTAGTGTATGGTAGCTGCCTGCGGGTTATCTTCAATCGGACGAGTAGCCTTAGCATGAGTATAATATAGGACTAATAGGGGTTGGGGAAGTTTGTAGACTAGGGCAATGAGATAATTTAATTAGGCTACCGTATGTCGATTATTAAGTTTACCATGGTTGTGTTGTGGTTCAGTTTCCAGTTTATTAAAATTAACTAGTAAACACATTGCTTGAAATCGAGCAATTGCAAAGAAGTAATTAAAGTAGTTATTTAAAAACAAATAAAAGTCATCATAATTTCCGATGAGTTTAAAAGACTTTGAAATGAAAAATAACAGCAATTAAAATATACAGCTGATCAAAATGTAAACAATCATGTTCTTCATAAGGATAAAATGGGAACTTTAACAGCTACTGGGGCAGAGCCCAAGGGACTTTAAAAAAAATGTAAGGTCAGTTTGCAAATGTACGCGACACGCTCTTTCCAATGAGACGTCAATGGATAAAATCGGTTAAGAAATGGTGGAGGAGTTCAACTGACAAAGTTTCATGTAGGCCTAGCGTATTAATTATATAGATATTTGAATTCACATTACAGTAACTTATCTTGTAGATTTATTAATGAAATCAGATTAGTCCATTTATATAGATAAGTCTCTGGTTCTCTGTTTATTAATTATATTTACCTATTAAAAAAACATAAAAATTGGCTATGATACGCAGCTGAGGTATTATTGTGCACTTTGACGAGGTTGTTAGGTTTATTTGAATATGGTTCAAGCAGCGACAGGAATTGTGAAGATATATTGAGTCCAGGTATCTTAATTAACACCATTCAACTGCATTTTGCCTCATCAGGGCCTACTTTCTTAATTACAAGCAGTAAATTTGAAAGAATACCAGTATTGTTCCAATTTTATCAATTTTTCATCAAGATATTGTTTTGTTAGCAAATTGCAAAACCAGATAAAAAAAAATTCGAGGAAATTTGAAAGTATAATCAATTTACTGCCCATTGGTACTTCAAATGAATAAACTTGTGATTACTTCATCCTATTTAATTCAATTCAATATTTCTTTATTCATTAAAGCACAAAGTACCTACATGAATAGTGTCATTCTCTTACATATTTTTGTATTACAATGTTCTTACATTCTATAGATACAAAGTTCTTAAAATCTAACATAAGTTTATACAAATTAAAAATTAACGCTCCTTCTAAAATTCTAAAGTTCATCTAGGGAATACAATACCTTGTTGCCGAGAAATGTTTTAAGACCCCTCTTAAATCCCACCATGCTTTTTGCCCATTTAATTTCATTTGGAATTTTGTTGTACAATTTGGAGCCGGTATAACTTGGTTTTCTACTGTAAAGTTCTAATCTGTGGCGGTTTAAAGCAATGTTGGCTTTTATTGTAGTGGTGGTGTTCACCAGTTAACGCCAATAGAGAAAATCTGTTTTTAACATATAGAACTGTTTCATAGATATACAACCCATATACTGTCATTATTTTAAAATGCTCTTTTGAAGTTCTCGAGTCAAGGTCCAAAATAATTCTTAAATAAGTTAGCTTTTTTTGTAATTCTAGGATTGTTTCTAAGTTATTGATAGATGTAGCGCCATACAGAGAAATGCCTATGTAAATTCTAATAGTGACTTTATTTTTCAGCAGGCCTACTGTCAGCGTAAAAGAACTGAAAGAAAGTGTTCAAGAAGAAATTTATCGTCTTGGCAAAATAAAACCCGGAACTTGCATTACACAGTTTTCAGATAGAATCCTTGTGGAAAATGTAGAACAAATACAGATTTGTGATAAAGATGGCGAGAGTAGTCTTCATCACGAAAAACTGGTAGGCAATATAAAAAGCTTAAGTTATACAGTACAACCTCAGTTATCCGGAGGAGGCTAACTTAGGCTACATAAAAAATCGGGAAGTACAAAACAATTAAATATATTTTTTTTATATTTGGAAACCAAAAAAAAAAATTACTTTGAAAGTCAACTTTGCAGTCAGTTTTGCATGAAAATACTAGTACCAGCATGATCGGGCCATGGGAACGGGGTTTTATGGCCCAAAAATTTGATTTTCTCATTTTTTATTTTACCCTCAAACCAACAATTTCTCAATTTCTATCTAGGCCACTTTCAAGAGCTTAAAAAACAAATAATTTAGTATATCATTTGGTAGTATGTGTTTTTTTGGGGTTAGCGGAATTTTACCCCCTGAGCAAAACTGATGTCACAAACCAGGCCGGGGTAAAATTACGGCCGCAAACTCTAGAGTTGGACAAGATCAGTTCAATAAATTAAAGGCCGATTCAAAGGTATATTTTCACGGTAGTGATATTAATCAGAACAAATCAAATTATAAAACTTAGAATGTTACCCCCCGGAATTTCACCCCCTGGCTGGATATAGAAATTAGTGAGAATAACTTAATTTTAGTTCGGCCGCTTAAAAAACGACCTGCCCCCTAATGCTAAACCAATGCTGGAGGTGGTCGCTTTCTAAGCGGCCGAACTATAGTTTTCTTCTTTCAGGTTTAATTAATACAGTAGACTCCCTCTTATCCGAACTCCTAGGGACCGAGGCCAGTCCGGATAACGGGTTTTCCGGTTAAGCCGACGTCCCCAAAAACTCATTAAAACACACCGTTTACGGTGATATTCGACTTAAATTTAGGAGAGCATTGTATTTAGACATGTGATTACTGTTCTCAAATCTTTCCCACGAGAACAGTCGTTTCAGTACCGGCCACTTCCTGCCGATCTAGTCCGATTAAACCAATGTGCTGAAAAAAATTGTCCGGTTAAAGAGATGTAATTTCCGTTGAGTGTAGTCCGGTTAAACCGATGTCCGGTTAAAAGGTGTCCGGAAAAGAGGGAGTCTACTGTAGTAAACAATTTATTATTAAGTAGCCTATCTTAATTTATTTGTAACCTCTACTAATGAAACAGGTTTTGGAATATAATTTTGAGATTCGGGATTAGATTTTTTTGGGGCAACTGTTTGTTTATAACGTGTATGTAAACGAACTGAGTAGCCCGTATGCATATTAATTGTTTCGATCATTTGTTTAACGATTGATTATATGACTGAGGAAAAAAAATTCCCTCGTTTGTATCGTAACAATAACAAAATACTATCCCTTTATTGTTTCTTCAGGCACAAACCATGAGCTGCCTGTTAAAATGTAGTTGTAGGCATCCGGTACAAAGTATACAACCAGTTGTTGTGTTGACTACTGTAAGGAAACCCATGGTATGTGCTCGAAGAAACAAATAGGCATCAATCTATCTATATTAATAATACGCTACATGAAACTTTGTAAACAATAAGGTCTAGGTGTGTAGATATGCAAACTGACCTTACATTGAAAAAGTCCCTTGGGCTCTGCCCTGGTGGCTTTTAAAGTTCCCATGTTATCCTTATGAAGAACATATTTGTTTAGTATTATAAATAGGTAACATACCTTATAAATCCGACAAACAGCTCAATTTTATTGAAGGTCTTTACTTAAAACTGACTAACTCAATGTTGTTATTTAGGCTGATCTTCAAAACGAGTTCCTGCCCAGAGACGTGTGTTTGAATTTCCACGTCTATCGGCTCAACACAGAAGGTGTGCAATTAGAGAGCATGGACTCAGGAGACCAGAGTGAGGAAGATCAACCCGTGGCCAATCATTGGATCTTGCCTTCTTCAGATTTTCGAGGTCTTTGGGAGAGCCTTGTTTACGATAATAATGTCAAAGAAAATGTAGGTGCACAGAATGTATACTAACTTTATGAAAACCTTTTGTCAATTAGTTGTTGCTGCAGTTTAAAATTCTTATGGTATTCTTATTGAGAATAGGTAAACTGTTGTAGTTAGCTTATTAAAAACTTATTTTGGTAGTTTTCAATAATTCTTGATTTCATACTAAATTACAGTACTACCATTTTATTAAAAAATAAACACACATTTTATTACATTTACTGTAGCAGCAAAATGCAAAACTGTAGCACAGGGTGTCTACCAACTGGCAGAGGCGGATTTTAGTTTAGGATTTGCCACCCCTGGGCTATCCACAACTGGCCGCCCTCCTCCCCCCAACCGTGTGACGAGAGAATTTCAATAATGCAAGAATAATAGAAACTGTCTCTTTTTAACCATTTACAAGCTGCTATACCCGTGCTTTGCAACGGGAAGATAATGTGACCTAAACAGCTATTAAAGTGGTGCTGATGTGTGTTTTAAGATACAGCAACTCTATGATTTAGTTTGAAAACATGAACTGATTTAAAAGCGTAAACCTGCTTACTTTAAAACCCCTACTTTTGATGTTAATAGATCCCTAAGAATATTATAATAATATTATAATATTATAAGAATAACAAAACGTAAAGTTATGGACTTAAGTATGTACGAGTATTTGAAAATATTGTAAAATAATACTTTTTTAAATCATCAATGACTTTGCCAAGATCTGCTGTACAAGTAGCCTAATGTTGTTGCAGCTACTCAGCTACATGGAAACTACCATGTTATTCAGTGATTGTAAGGTGGACACAAACATCATCACATGGAACAGGCTGGTTCTGCTACATGGACCTCCAGGCACAGGCAAAACTTCCTTGTGTAAGGCTCTGGCTCACAAGCTGTCTATCAGGATGGGCCACAGGTACACACACGGACAACTGGTGGAAATCAATAGTCACAGTCTATTCTCCAAGTTCTTCTCTGAAGTGAGTCAATTTTCAATTACTACTGGTTTGAATACCCAGAGTGTACCATAGTGTTGTGCTACAGGGGTTGTAATCAGCATAATGTACCACCACGTTGATTTTTGCTTCCCTGTTAGTTGGCATGAAACAGTAGAGCATTTTTCCCTAAATCTAAATGAAATATTTTAGTTCTTAATTTTATGGTCAATAATGTATCATAATACTTTTTTTATTTTATACAAATTATTAGTTTGTTGTGTGATGTGGCAAATAGTTGTCAATGAACTAATTTGTTGTGTTTCGTGCTCTATCACCCATTCCATTTTTGAGCGGAGCGAGCGAAGCTCTTATACGTCGACTCTTATGCATTTCGTAATACGCAAACTCCTCCTAGACGGCTGAATCAATCGTTTTCAAATTTTTCATGGTGATAAAGACCATATCGGTGAGTGCCAACATCTATATGGCGTTAAAAAAGTCTCTCAGGAATCCGCCCCACTGGGTCTCAAAGTTTCAATGTAATCCTTATGGAAGCAGTATTTGACACATAAACAAAGACATATAATCAGCTGTTGACTTTTGAATGCAGTAAATAAAGAAATAGCTGATAGCATTATTCCACAGATATTAGAACAGAAACGGTATGGATCATAAACGTAATGAAATGACGACACTAGCTTGAGGTCCGTGACGTAGGAAGTGGTAAAGGAAGTAGTAAAGGTTAGCAGTCTGGAGTGTGGAAACTGTATATGACGATTAGATTAAGGTACCTGCATTCCTAAAATTCTATCGGAAGGGATGAAAACAGGTCCCCGACGTAGGAAGTGGTGACGGAAGTAGTCAAGGCAAGCTGACCGGGGTGTGGGAACTGTTTATGACGATTAGATTAAGGTATCTGCAATTCTAAAATGGGAGGGGAACAGGTCCGTGACATAGGAAGTGGTGAAGGAAGTAGTAAAGGCGAGTTGTTCGGAATGTGGGATCTGTTTATGATTAATAGATTAAGGTATTTGCAATCCAATAATGCTAAGGAAAGGGAGGGAAACAGGTCCGCGATGTAGGAAGTGGTGAAGGAAGTACTTGAGGCGAGCTGTCCGGAGTGTGGGAACTGTTTATGACGATTAGATTAAGGGATCTGCAATCCTAAAATGCTAATGGAAGGGAGGAAAACAGGTCCGAGACGTAGGAAGTGGTGAAGGAAGTAGTCGAGGCGAGCTGTCCGGAGTGTGGGAACTGTTTATGACGACCAGATTAAGGTATCTACAATCTTAAATTGCTATGGGAAGAGATGTAAACAGGTCCGTGACGTAGGAAGAGGTGAAGGAAGTAGTAAGGTGAGCAGTGTGGAGTGTGGGAACTAGAAACCGTTTGTAGCAATTAGATTAATGTATCTGCAAAGCTGAAATGCAATGAGAAGGGATGGAAGCATGCCCACGACATAGAAAATGGTGAAAGAAGTAGTAAAGGCTAGCAGTGTGGAGTGTGGGGAATGTTTGTGGCAATTAGATTAACGTATCTAAAATACTAAAATGATTTGGAAAGTGATGAAAACAGGTCGATGACGTAGGAAGTAGCTCAGGAAGTAGTAAAGTATGAGCGTAGTGTGAGAATCGTCTGTGGCAGTTAGATTAATGTATCTTCAATCCTAAAATGCTATGAGAAGGGAAGGAAACAGACCCCACGACGGAGGAAGTAGTGAAGGAAGTATTAAAGGCTGGCAGTGCAGAGTGGGGGAACCGTTTGTGCAGTTAGATAAATGTATCTGTAATGTAATACATAAATGCTATGAGAAGGGAAGGAAACAGGTCTATGACGTAGGAAATGGTGAAGCAATTAGTAAGGCTAGCAGTGCAGAGTGTGGGAACTGTCTTTGGCAATTACATTAATGTATCTGCAATCCTAAAATGCTACTAGAAGAGAGGGAAACAGGTCCACGACGTAGGGGGTGGTGAAGGAAGTAGTGAAGGTGAGCATCGTTGAGTGTTGGAATGGATCAAAATTTACAACTGAGTTGACAACAACTGATTTTTACTCCATAGAGGCAAAACACGATTTTTACTCCCTAGAGAGTAAAAATGCTACTTTAGACCAGCAACGCATGCATTAAAAACGACTGTTTTTTTACTGCAGTATGACAAAAACAATATAATATGAACCCTTGATGACTCCGCTCAATTTTGTGGATGCCTCTGCGAACGCCACCTAGTTAAACATCAAATTTGATTTACCATCAAATTCCTAATAAATTGATCCACAGTAAATTTGTCTACAGCAACCCAGAGGAAGTACAGGCAGCTCTAAATTATGTTTGCCGATTCCTAACCAGAACTTATGGGCTACAGAATTTTAATTTTATGTTTTGGTTACTAAATATTTTATTTTTTGCTTGATTTATTAGTGTTGTATTTCAAAACTAGTTTTAACAATGTTTTGGAATAATCATCATTATTAATTCTTTCGCGCATACATGTCTTAACACTGCTACCTATGAATTTTCTTGACTCAAGAAATGTGAGGTGGCTACAGATCATACATAATTTTCACAAACTTGCTCTCATCATTGTAGTGATACATCATCCATTCTACATTATTACCAATATTACAATTAATAATGTTTTATTGGTGTCGGCAGAGTGGCAAGTTGGTTGGAAAGATGTTTACCAAGATCAGAGAGCTGATTGAAGACACCAACGCCCTCGTGTTTGTCCTCATTGATGAAGTGGAGAGTTTGACAAGAGCTCGTGAGTCGTCTATGAGTGGCGCTGAACCTTCAGACATGATACGAGCAGTCAACTCTGTTCTCACAGAGATTGATCAGATTCGCAAGTATGACTTTAATAAAATTACCTACGTAATAGTTCTAGACTACTAGTAAAAACCAAAGTAAAATTCAATTCTGACCTATCAGAAATGTAAATTTTGTGTCAGTTTTATCAAAATTCCCTGAAGAAGAGGAGGTGGATATTACTGTAGCCCTTGTGGTAAAAATAAGCAGTGCCGGATTTACCACTGGGCAAGCAAAAGGAGGCTGTTGCGTTTTGTATCAAAACAATGTTTTAAGGTCATAGATAAAATTTTGATTTTGTAAAATTAATAATGTGAATGTGCCATGAGCACGAGAAAGGACGATGTCCCGTGAATGCAGGAGGAGTTGACTATTGCACAGCAATCATGGGTGGTGTCACAGAAAACATACTACTATAACCCACAATGCCAACCGCATGGTAAAAACCATTAAGTGTTTTGAGAGAGCTTTGCCTGTCAATCCGTAGGCAGCGCCACCTACGGATTGACAGGCAAAGCTCTCTCAAAACACTTAATGGTTTTTACCATGCGGTTGGCATTCTGGGTTATAGCAGTATGTTTTCTGTGGTGTTGTTCACAATTTTGTGCCAATTGCAGGTGGGGATGTTGTTGTCCCGGGATTGTGCAGAAGTTATATCTAGTGGTGGAGGCCTGTGGTAAAAAATATCAGTTGAACAAGTGAAGAAAATACAAACACACACGCAAAAAGAAGAAGCTCTAAACTCCAAAACTGTGCTGCTTTTATTTATTGTTTCTTAGTAATTTTTATAAATCAGACATTCCATTGCTTAAACTGCATTAACGTGGCTATCAGCAAAAGTGTTTATACTTTCAAAATTCATGTAACAAATCTCCTAAATTCGTAATACTGTATTTTTCAGGTTTCCAAATGTGATGATACTGTCAACATCAAACATAACCGGAGCGATAGACGGAGCGTTCCTCGACCGAGCTGATATCAAACAATATATTGGATTGCCATCTTATCATGCCATATTCAAAATCTATCTAACATGCCTCAAAGAGCTTATTCGGGTATGTATGGGAAAAAGTTGATTATAAGTCTTATTATGTGTTATAAGTTTATTGTACACGGCAACCGTAAACGTCAGTTTCAACAAGTATACACAAGCAACACAGTATACATGTGGGTATAGCCTAACTTAACCAAGTGGTGCTGATACTTTAGTTTAGATGTGTGCATATAACCCTTAGATATATCTTATCTCTAATAGTCATAAAATTTCAACACAAACGGGACAGTACTTAAGTGTCTTAGGGCCTCCTCCGATTTAACTCTTATGTTGTATTTTATTTCATCGTTTTGGTTTAACTGGCTGTGGTATTCTGTACCTATTAGTATGCCGTGGTGATATGTAAGTGATTTAAAAACTATAAGGGGTCAAATGAAAGGTTTTGACGTTTTGCATTTGTTATTTCAGGTAAACCTGATTGTATCTTCTTCTCAATTTGACTCGCTAACATTTGACAGACTGAGGCTAGAGTCTAATGGAGAAGACAGCACACACGAAAGTGTTCAACAGTTATTAGCACTTTCAAGGTAAGAACCTGACTACAGCTATGATCAGTATTAAGAAGTGTGTAAATTCACCCAAACTTGGGTAAAATTACTCATCACCAACTTAATATAATGGTAAACATCTTAGTACGTTGTTCTAGCCTACTGGTAAAAGGCTGTCAAGTAATTATCTTTCATTTTTCATCCCACAAATCAAGATAGTTGTGTTTAATTTACACCAGAAGAAAGCATGTATGCTTATAAATCAACAAAGTGATGTATTGTTATTGTTATCCTTATTTTTTGCGTAGTTATTAAGACAATGAGAAAGGACAAAGTATTTATAAATTTCATCACCGCCATATCCATTCCTAATGTTGTTTTGACTCAGTATAAATAGTACTAGTGTACCTGTTGCTCGAATTTGATCTATTGCGAAGTATTACGGCATTATTTTAAAACAAATAACAGTCATAATTTCCGATGACTTTAAAAGGGTTGACTCAGAGATTATGGAAATACTAACGATGTACATAACAGTTCGATGTAATCAAAATATCTTATCATTTAAAAAAAAAACTGGTCTTGTTTTTAGGGTTTTCTAAAAAAAATTCCCACTCCCCATTAGGTTGTCCACAATAACTTATAAATTCTAGAAAAACATGATTTCTATTTCTCCTACTTTGTGGTGTTCTGTTCTATGACTTTCCTATGTTTCCGTAGATTGCAAATCGGCTCTTTCAATTATTGCTCAGTTTTCTTTTTGGTATATCAAACTGTCCAGGCTTTCTCGCTTTTTTCCATTGTAATATTTACGCCAACCCAAATTCAAATAATAAATACTAGTGTACCTGTTGCTCGAATTTGAGCAATTGCGAAGCATTACAGGCGTTATTTTAAAACGAATAACGGTCATAATTTCCGATGACTTTATAAAAGTTGACTCAAAGATTATGGAAATACTCATGATGTAAACAACAGTTAGATATAATCAAAATAGTTTGTAAATATCTTATCTTTTTTCAATAGCTGATCTTGTTTTTTAGAGTTTTCTACAAATGTTTCCCACTCATAGCCGTATTAGGTTCTCTATAATAACGATTATAAATGGGAAGAAAAAAAACCATTATTTCTATTTCTTCTAATTTAGTTTTATTTTTAGTAGGCCTATACCAAATTGTCCAGGATATTTTTTTCCCATTGTAATAATTACACCAACCCAAGTATTGTCTACAGACGCAAAGAAAATCTATTTTAAAATCAGAAAAAACCTTTGCAAATACTTCATTTTGACAAATTCAGTAAATCACAATTTAAATATTAACAGCTGTTTCATTAACAAGTTGTGTAAAATTATACATATGGTCATAATGTAAACAAATCTGCTGAGGGGACTTTAAAGGCCTCTGGGGCAGAGCCCCAAGGGAATTTACCTCGTTTCTCTTTTGATGGGTCATCTACAGACCAAGACCTTTCTTTAGAGAACCCTACCAAGTTTCTACGCCCAGCCGTTCTCTGAAATTAGCTGTAACAAAAATCCGTTTTCCCCCATAAGAATAACATGGGATGGGAATTTAAAGGCCACTGGGGCAGAGCCCCAAGGGAATTTACCACGTTTCTCTTTTGATGGCTCATCTACGGACCAAGCGCTGTTTTTAGACACCTCTACCGAGTTTCTACGGCCAGCCGTTCTCTCAAATTAGCTGTCACAAAGAAAAACAGTTTCAAATTAATATTATAGATTATTTCATTTCAACCAAGTCATAAAATATTTGTAGCACACGTTTCCAAAATGAAACTTCTATGTTAATATTAACATCATTTAAATTATCCAGCTGATCATAATGTATACAAATATGTTCTTCTTAAGGATAACATGGTCCCTTTTTAAAAGCCACTGGGGCAGAGCCCAAGGGACTTTTTCAAAAATGTAAGGTCAGTTTGCAAATCTACACACCTAGACGGAACATTTTGGTATATAATATGTGGGGTTAAATCTTAAAACAAAAAAGCCTTATTGTTCACAAAGTTTCATGTAGCGTATTAATAATATGAATAGATAGATTACTATTTTTTAATGCAGGTAAAATGTGTATTTAAAAATGACTAAAGTAGACTGTAGGTTTAAAGTACACTGCTCAAGTAACTTATAACTAAAACACTGTAGAATCGTTCATTTCCAGATTGAGTGAAGGACTGAGCGGCAGAACATTGCGCAGGATACCTTTTTTGGCCCACGCTCTGTTCGTCAAGTCCCGAACTGCGAATCTAGACTCGTTTCTTAGAGCAATGGAATCAGCTGTTATGCAACAAAAAAATGAATCGGAATACAAGCCAAGTAAGTATGTCTTCATTTGTCATTTGAAAGCTATGTTTTGCTACAATTTTAATTTTATCTCCACTTTTTGTGTAAACATTCACAGGATAACTTAAAAACAAATTTACGGTAAATATGCATTTTAAGGTCTTCACCCGATTTTACTAGAAATTCAACGCTGATTCCAAAAATGATGCTCTTTTTCTGTGAAAAAAACAACAATAAACGTGAAAAACGGAAATAACGAATATGCAATTTTTATTTTCATCCTATGTCAAATAAGCGAGATATTACATTTACAAAAATGAGTTTTTGTAATACCCCTCAAATGGATAACTCCCCTGTCCATCCCACCATTTCCCGATATTTAGGCCTATAGGAAATTATTGCGTTTTAGATTTTACCATGTAGCTCTTATGAACTCTGAAATCTTGGCCAACTACTCCATTAGCTTAAAAACAATAAGGATTCAACGCAATTAACAACCTAGTAGACTATAACCTACACTTCTTGCAGCCACAAATCCACATAAACACCCCGGCCTACCCTCCGTACATGCCTAAATATAAGATCATGTTTAGTTTGTGTTTTCATATAAAACTACCATTCTTCCCGGAAAATTCCTGTTCTTGTGCTTTCCACACCCTATAATGCAATTCATATAAAATTTGTGGAAAAAAAGTACACCGTAATAGACAGGTTTGTTTGATAATTTTGCTGGAAAATCCTTAACTGATGATCTTCGTACAGACATAACCAATTAATTATTGGGTTTTGAAACATGATTTCTTGACCCAAGAATGTTACTTGCACAGATTTAGTTACTACTGTATTGTATTGTACTCTCTTTAGACCTAAAATATCCATTGATTAGTTTTTCATTTTGGTATTAACATAGCGTCTTCCATACGTCCTTACTTCCATATTTCCAGACTTCCATTTAAATAATGCATATATCTTGTTAAATAACTGTGCTTATTCATTAAAATAATAAGAAATTGAATTGTTTTAGTATTTTTTTTAATAATGCATCATTAGCATGTGAATAATATTTATTTGATCTTTTATGTCTGTGTGATTTGTTTCAGAATAATCAAATTTTAGTCTAAATATGTTGAAGATCTCATATGAAGAAACCTACAAGTGATAGAGGGATCAATATTTTCACACTCCTATTTAGCTATTTTAACTTAATGTGATAAACTTATTCATATAAATATTTTTGTCTGTGTAAGACTAGAGTTAAAAATAAAAACTAGAGGTAACACACTACATAAAAAAAATAGCATCCGTTAAAATTTTTCAAATTGAATAAAAACAAGTTTTGATTCAACGATTCAAGTAAAGAAAAAATTGGATTCTATCAAATTTTGTGTAAAATCTGTCTTTATATTCAGTAACTCTTCATAACCAAACACTCCTTGATTTTGAAAAGCATATTACATTTCAGTTTTGTCTGATATGATTCACCTACAATAATTTACCTAATTAGTATGCTTAAGGGGAAGAAAATGTTAAGTTTTTAAAACTTATTATACGACCCTCGTTAAAAATATTCAGTGTTATATTTGCTATCAAAATTAAAATCATAATGATAAATTTAAATCCTTCTCTTGTAATGGTTTTGGTTGCTTAAATCTTGTTTTTGTAACATCTACTCTTGTTTCCCTAAAGACATTATTTATGCTGTAGGCTACAGTAATTTCAAAAAACACTATCACCCATACTGTTGCTTGAGAAGTAATGTTATAACTTAACAGTCTTTTGAATCGTCAACTAACATTGTTGTTCTTTTGCTGTAAATACTTTTTTCCAAATTAATGTATTACACAATTTTTTTTTACCACTAATAATTAAAATCATTCCCCATCTTAATAAAGCTTCATCGCCTCATAGTTAAGCACAATAAACAGATACCTAGTGTTAAAAGTATGGCGAAGCCATCATATTTCTAATAAATATGTACTATCTTTGTTTTGGATAGAGATAGGGGATTATACCACACAACATGACTGCCCTTTGGATAAAACTAATGTTAAATTAACATAAAGCTAGGGGTTAGGTACTTAAAAGACATCCTCATAATGAAGTTACTGATGTAGTATAGAGCACAAGTGCCTGTGTTATAAGACTTCAGTCGGGATATCAGGCTTGCTTGAACCGCAAAGAGCTGACTGTAATACTGACCACAAAAACTTTACTAAACATCTACATTCATAAATAAATCAAACAGTAAACTACCACTGAACGTATACCAAGGGAGGTTATAGTTGGAAATAAATGTCTAGAATTTAATGGTTCATTTTATATTCTTCTAAATTGTGTTTATTGTGTCCAAGATGCCCTCATTACCCTTAAGGTAAAGCCTGTTATCCCAACAAAGACACACAATGATGATTTTTAAAAAACATTTATTTTTTATACTATTTTGTTGGATTCTATAATAATGTGACATTGTTCTAGGCGATTTTGTGTTATTGATTAAGATCTGGAGTAAATAGTTGTTTTAAGTTAAACAATTGTTTTTTGTGTTAAAACTATTAGTGTAAATTGTACTTCTTGTAAACTTTTAAATACAAAAAGAGCTTCCATGTCAACTATAAAAGTCGTATTTTATCTTCTGCTTTTTCCTAAAACCTACTTTATTATATCCACTTTAATCCAAAATTTTCAACAGTTATGTAATTTAATCATACTATGAAAGTGTGTGTTTTTTTTACTGTGAATTGAAAAGCTAATTAGTAAATAGCTTAATCACTTCACTAAGACAGTGAAATAACTTATATACATATTTTAAGTTGGATAGGTCTATGAACGCAGGGAATACAGAACAGATTGAGATTGCCTGTGTATCTTTTTCACTAAGATGAGCTGGCTCTTCAGCAAGAATAATTTTTTTAAATATGCCTACTTTATTCCAGAGGTTGATTTAAGAGGAGACTCAGTAGAAGACACTTAAATATGTGGTCAGGCAGAATCTATTGCAGCATAGTAAGAAAGGCTATGTTGGTATTTTTAGTTTTATTTATATTTAGTAATCATGTTAGTTTCACTATACTCATCCCTGGCTCTATAGAATAGCTTACAAACAAATCGCAGAGACCCTCTTCTGATAGTGCGAACACCAACACAGACAGCAACAGTTGCTGTTACTGCAAGTGTAAACTTTACAATCCATCTTACCAATCAGCGAGACTGTCCGGCACAGGGAACATATAATGTATGTTAATTGTCTTACACAATTAACATACACGAGGTGTTAGCCCGTCCTACGTACGGGAATTCAGTAGTCAGTTAAAACCGTGTACAATTCAGATCAGCTAGTTTACAATAAAACAGCAATTCTGCAATTTTTACGATGTGAAAAGCGTTGAAGTGAGATTTGCAGCCGATTCGCACAGACACACACTGATACACTGATTATAAGTAGTCTACAGTAGAGAGAGTAATAGTCAATTGAGAAGTGCATAGACCTAGTCGACGATACCACCTTCCATCACATACCTGCCTCTTCCATAATTATTATCACCACAATACAACTACTATACACAATTTCCAGTAGGTCTGAATAGAAACGACCTAAAATAAAACGACAATATCCAATAAAATTCACAGTACACATAATTTAACTTTGGTGTCCTAACATCAAAACTAATCGTCACACCTATCCTTTATATAAATTTCACTGCATTAATTGCTAAATAAATAAGTGTAAACAAAGAAAAGTAAAAACAATAACAGTTTGTTTTGAAACAGCTGTTTGGTTCAAATAACATTCATTTGAAAAAAATAACTGGTCACATGTAGCAGGAATATAAAAAGTAAACACGCTAGTAAAACTAATGACGTAATTGTCCATGTTTATTATCCATACCGTTATCAGTTCTATCCTTGATAATTACCCACCCTCATTGAATAAATGTACATTGTAATTTCCCATATTAGTTAATTTAAACTACAATATATTCATAGTTGAAATAAAAGTGATATTTTCACGTTTGGGGGCGCTGATATAGGCACCCCCAAACGTAACCACAACTGAACACGATTTCATAAAAGGATGGTTTGTCTAATTGCAGTATCCTAGGTCAATGTTGACGTTGTGTTCAATCTATGTCATCCATCTGTTTATCTTTTTATAAAACCCGGCTGAGGTTGTGGTGGTAATTTAAAATCGTGATTCCTGATTATTCTTGATCTTCTTTTTATGACATCAATATTTCCGGGCCTTGGAAATTTAAAGCAGACAAACATTAATTGTAAACAAAAAGCTACCATGAAGAATTAAAACAGGTAAAAATTGTTATTTTTCTATTCTTTCCTTGAAAATTGGAGCAGTAAAATAATTTGCATTTATCCTTGTTTTTTAAGACTCGTGTACAGAGCCTCGATTTGTACTGTGGTTGAATTAATTTTGATCTAAACTATTTTAAACTGTGGTCTAATTATCTCTACTAATCTTACTTATTTCCTATAATCAATGAAAAAATAAGAGTAAATAAAATAACCTCATAGTTCCGTAGTTTATATTTAACCAGCTGTGAGTTAAAACAAATTATATTGCTCTAAAACAAATCTAAGATTACAAAGATTGCTTTAAAAAATAATTTGAACATCCTGGTATTTTACTATGTGTATTTAATTAATCTGTCATCCTCTTACAGAAGAATTGAACGTATCAATGATTAGCAATACATATAGTATAAATAAGTCAACCCTAAGTATGTATTTACATTTTTTCCAAATGCTGAATTTCCGACACAAAAGCTGAATGTTTACAGCTGTTATGTTAAACAAATTATTTTATGCCAAAAGCTAGTTTAGAATCTTAGCGTCGGCTGCTAGACTTTTTAAAAATTAAAACTCAATTTCTAAAAAACTGGGACCTATAACTAAAATTATGGCTTCGACATTCCCTAGTTCTCAAAATTAACTTTCTTTCAACACAAAAATCATGAAAATCCGTCGAGTGGTTGATTCAGAATCGTGAAATAAAAAAACACTGTTTCGTTTTAATATTATAGATTACATGGATGTATTTTTTTCTGTTGATTGTCTGCTCAGAAATGTATTCAGAGCTAGTTGACACTCTATAGAAACTCTTGGCCATCCACACACAATGAGTTTCAGTAAATTCTCACAACCCTGTATTAGAGCATATATGCCATCGTCAGAAACGTTCTTGCAGTGGTTGAGCCTAAGATGGGAGATCATTTTTGAATGTGGTCCTTGACTCAATGTTTTCAGGCCACGGTCTCCTATGTTTGTGTTGGACAGATCGATAGCTTTCAAATTACACATTCGTGCAAGACTATCTGTCGCTGCATCTGTGAGATTATAGTCTCCACTCAGATCTAACTCTTGAACTAGATTACAAGTCTTTGTAATGACAGATACTACGTCATCTGTCACTCCATCGTTATTTGTGATGTGCAACTTAACCAGGAAGGGGAGATTTGAAAACATCTGTTTGAGAATGGGAGTAGAATGGCTGAATCTATAGTATCTTGGTGGATTCATTACCAAAAGTCTCAACCGGCGACATCGAGATATCTCCAACAAATCTTTACTAGATATATCGCAATGAAATGTGTCCAATCTCATTACGTTGGGATGTAGAAATTCACTGAGACCCAGATCACTATTCACTCTTCTTCTTAATATTCCTAGCTGCAACAAATCTTCTTTTATGTGTCCAGGAAGAGTTTTTATAAAGGCCAAATTCCATTTCTGACGCACAAGTGAAATCATTGTAATCCGGTAAAGTGATGAAGGACCTCGATGCCAGTATCCTTTTTCCATGATAACACTTTTTAGAGGTAGAGTAATATGAGTTAGTGTTGAAATGTTATAAGTTAAAAGTTAATATTTTAGAAATCATTGCAAGTAAGTTGATTGATAAAATGTTCAATAGTTTGAAGATTTTTCTGAACAGTATTTTTAGCTTATTTAATTGTTATTATTGATTTAACTCAGCTGAGCCTGAAGTAAACAACTGAAGGACCATAAAGCAAGGCCCCACTAGAAAATCAATCAGTTTGACTTGGTAAAAAGTATGTTGTATTCAACATAAATTAATAATTTAGATCAGCACAATCTGTCGGTGGCTCACATCAACTATGATTTTCATTTTAAAAACTAGCGATAACTTAAACATGGGGATGGAATGTATAGTTGTATCATTGACTATTGGATACAAAGATATCCCATCTATATGGATCAGCTGTCACCAATTTTTTACTAAAAAAGAATGTAGTTGTGTGAGCCAGTCACAGATTGCGCTAGTGTCTAAAACTCCCTGACATATTGCTGGGTCACAACAGTTGCTATAGCTCATAATAAGTCAATCCATCAGTTTCACTTGGTAAACACCATCATGTAATCGGGATAAATCAGTAATTTAGATCAGCGCAATCTGTAAGTGGCTCACATCAACTAAGACAAATGTTATTATTGGCTACAACATTAACATGGGGATGGAATGTCTATAGACATTCCATCTATATGGACCAGCTGTGGCCAACATTTCATCAAACAAGAACATAGTTCTGTGAGCCAGTCACAGAATGTGCTAGAGTCTAGAACTCTATTTCTACCTTATTTTTTGAATGATGCTTCCCGACCACTCAGGGCCGTCCCTAGGGTTGGCGGCGCCCGGAACAAACGTGGTCGTGGCGCCCCCTCTCCCCCCCAGTAATAGCCGCATTCGCATATTTTTAATACTATGTTAATACAAATAGCCGCGGCATGGCGCCCCCTCAGCCGCAGCGCCCAGGGCAGGTTGCCACCCCCTTCAGACGGTTTTGCGACCACTCACAACCGGATGGATGTACAGTTATGTAGACTCTACATCCATCCGGTCTTGACGCATCATTCTCCATACCACAGTTACCATTTATTTCTCTTTACTCGTTTTAAATATACTATTTTACCATTTCAATGTCCGTTTTCGTGTTCGTTTGTCTATCTATGTAATTTATGTGAATCGACCACTTTCTGATGAAGTGGTTATGACATCCTTTGACACCTGATGATGACTTCGTGAAAGTTAAAAATAGTTGCGACATTAGCAACATCTTGGATTACAAGGAAACAGGTATTTACACCAATTCAGATCTTGTTTAGGTTAAAGATTATTTAGAATGAATTTTGTTTTAGCGAATTCCCTATAGGGAAGTAGCTATTACCGTAGGTGGGTAAGACCTAGGCCCAGGACCGATTTACTTTTAATTTTGATATACCCAGAGGCCAAAAACACCATTCGTTAAAATTTATATATATATATATTAAAGAAAGCATACTAACTCAGTACCCTGAAATGATTTTATATTTATTTTGAGTTTATAAAATATATATACGTCTGTGAACAATTTTTGTCCAATTTTGATGAAATTTAGTTTAAAGGTGTAAGGCAGGATTTACTTGAATGAGTTTGGGAACCAGCATGATCGGACCATGGGAACAGTGTTTTACGGGAAGTTTTATGGAGTAAAAATTGTCTTTTCTCATTTTTCACCCTCAAAACACAACATTTCCCAATTTCTCTTTAGACCTTTTTAAAGAGCTTAAAAAACAGATGATTTAGTATATCAAAGTATTTTTGTACAATAATTATTGGTTACAGAGAAAATTTAAAAAAAATGTAAATTTTAAATATCTATGTTATTCTTATGGGGAATATTGTAAAATTTTGTAATTTGCTTGTTTATGAATATATTTTTCCTACAGTCACCCGACAAAGTTGACTTCCTTGTACTGTTTATAGTACAGAAAGCTGCTAATTGCTGCATATTTATACTTTGCCGTACGGTTTATACTTTGCCGTACGGTTTATACTTTGCCGCACATCAGGATTCCAACGAAACAACACAAAACAGCGTGGTTCTATTATGCACGTAATCCGTGTACGCTTGGAAATAGGTTGGCAACACTTAAAGATAATAATATATGAGCAGCTGATTGACTATTATAACTACGATTTAACCTGTCAATTTGTGTTTATAGTTTCGGTATTTCTGAACTTTCTGGACTTTTCTTTTAAACGTTTTTAAAACATTCCTACGATCTTAATAAACAAGAAAATACCTTTAAAGCATTTTTTTAGGCGCGGAAACCACTTCAAATTACAAAAACATACGGAACTATATTCTCAAAACGCGGAGCACATTTCTTGCCGAGGAAAAATAGCGGAGTGATACGGACCGCGGGTACTACTTTCTCTAGGGTAGGCTACCATTTGTGTTGCCAGCTGAACCTAAAAACGTGTTGTATAGTGTTTGAAAGACTAATTATTTATATGCTTTATAGTGACTGTAGGAAAAATATAATGTGCAACACGAGTGAAAAAGGCCTTTGCTGCACTCGAGATCATTCCGCACTCGCCTGCGGCTCATGCGTAAACATTGCTCTCGTGTGCAGCAAAGTGCCACTTTCACCACTAGTTACACAAATAACTATTGTTTTGACCAAACCTAGCAAATTTATTTATTTTATACTAAGCTATTAATATTTTACTAAAAAACACACTTTATTAGTTTCCTTGTAGCAGCAAACCTAGGTTTAAACCTAAAGTAATTTAAATAGATTTGATTCAAAATAAATTCAGACAAATGGAAATTCGCTTCGGTGGTGGGGGTATTTTATGTAACTTACTGCTGTAGTATCTTTCTATACATGGTCCTACATTATTTTCCAAATAATATATATATATATCTTTATTTTGAATACATTTTAAACAGTAATACCGGTATGGGTTATTAGATGACTAATCACTAATTTAGAATGTTTTTTGGCAAATTCATTGTGTATCTGTATTATGTAATTTCACATAGTGCATGATCAATGGATAATATATTTTTAGTGTGTTGGTCACACTGGAGAGAGTTGGGAATATAGAATTTAAGATTAAAGAGAGTGGAGGGAAAAGTAAAATGTGAAAGATAAGGTGAAGCATAAAGATAAAGATAAGATTATTTAGCTAGGCTAGGGCACTGACTCTGTCAACAAAAGGATAACTATTTCTTAATTTTTATCTGTTATGTTTTCAATTTAACATATCTCATCTCATTTAAACTTTCATTTTCAAATTTTGGTTTTAACCCATAAATAGTATTGCAAAGTGCTCTATATCAAAGGTAAGATGTAGATTTTCACTTATTTAAGTTATTTTTAAGTGTGCCTTTAAAAAACTGATGGTCATCCATTAAAATTATTCAGATATCCTTATCTAAATTTTGTTAATTTGTATGATATTTATTTAATTACACTGTTTATTAAATATTTCCAGAAATGTTATAGGTAACCTAAATAGTTTCTATAATAATGTTGATGTAAAACTCTTTTTGACCATGGTTTAAAATTTAATATTAGAGCCTTGCTATCCCATAATCAGTCAGTTGTGTTTTTTTAAGACCAGTATGTTTTTCTACAATAGACCTGGGTTAAATAAAAAATATCACTGTACCACTGGTAACTGTATTTTTGTTCATTGATTAGGTGTGAAAATCTATATATTTAATAGGCCAACACGAAGTTTGTGATAATTGTTTCGAAGCTGCTACGCTTCAGTCAGTAACGTCTGTATTACTTTGCAATTGCTCAAATTCAAGCAACAGGTGCACTATAATAGTTGTAAATTATTCTGGGACAAGAGTTTTTGAAATGTTACAATAATCTTTATTTATGTCTTTTTTTTAGAATGGATCCAAGTGCTGAAGGTGGATTCATGAATAACAGTGATTACGAACAAATTATAAATGATCTGTAAGTATTACTTTTTGTAAGTAGGTAGGTAGGCCTTTACTTAGTATTCTATTTTCTGTATGACCCAAACAGAATTTGATTCGTTGAATGTGACACTTGGGATTGCCCTTTTTATTAGGAGTTATACCACAATATACAGGGTGTCTCATGAAGGGGATGCTATTTTTGAATTATATATACCAGACCTATGAAACACGGTACAAACTTGAAACTTCACAGATAATAAATGTCTAAAAAATACCTGCAAGTCTCATTTGATTTTTATTTATGAAACAAAATGGCAGGGTAAAAATATTATCAAAAAAAGTTGGTTAGCGTTAAAAAGTAGTTATTTGTTAATCTGGTATAATTTGCCTAACCATTAAACACATTAACACATACAAATATTTACAAAGAGATAGATTAAAAAAGCTTAGATTCATGGCCATGATATTCTTTATCAATCCTAACCTCCAATGCTGAGATGTGATTACTTTACTTCTACAGGTCGGCCGGATAGATAGCGACCTGCGCGAGGATTTTTAGCGCATGTAGGGGAGGTAACAGCAAGGGAGGGTATGTTTCCCCTCTCCGCCAATGGCCGTTTTCACACTGCACGACAAGGCACCGGCACGGCACGTTTCAGTGTGTGAGTAAGCAGCTCATTTGGTAACACAGGATTCCAACTCCCACTACACCGGGGCAGTGCCTAGACGGTTGTCGTGTCGTGCAGTGTGAAAAACGGCCATGACGGGAGGGGATCGGGCTGCAGCCGAGTGGGGGTAGAGCCATAGACTTTCTCACTCCCACAGCTCGGTATTTCTCTCTCGCACAAATTCTACGAAGAGGTCGCTTTCTAAGCGGCCGACCTATAGCATAGTCGTTATCACTTCATACATCAATTAATTGTAAGGTAAGCCTTAGATTTTACCAATGTTCAATAACGCTCCAGAAACTAGGTATCTCCAAAACTTACTTAGTGTTCTGCGAGGGAAAGGGAAAAATGTTTTTTATAAAATGCCAGTAGTATATAGGATAAAATAGATAAATTTGCCAAGTTTGATAAAGAATATATCCATAAACAAGCAAACTGTTGTCATGCCTAGCTTACTCACCTTACCTGCCTAATTTGTTCATAAAATATGGTTTATGTCATATTATTATGTTGTTGTGAGATTGTTTATGTTTATACTTTGTATTGTATACATACAGTCAACTATATATTTGTTTTATACAGGGTGAATAAAAAGTATAGACCCCCCCCCCCCCCTCTAATATTTTTCCAAGTAAATATACAGAGATAGGCTTTTGGTGGTCGTGCAATCTTAGCAGGAAGTTTCATTTTATGATTTTGAAATTTTTGAATGTCCCCCCAAAAGGGGGATTTGGGGGGCAACTAAAAAATTTTCAACGTAAACCCCCATCAAGTGACACCTCATTTTGAAGAGTTTACAAAAACTTAAAGAATGGTGAAAACTAGAGGTCGCTATCTCTTCTCTATCCAAAATGGTAGTCCGTCAAATGTTGTGGAAAATCAATGGTAAAATTGATTTGTAATGGTAATATTGGCTACCATTTTGGATAGAAAAGAGATAGCGAACTCTGGTTTTCACAATTCTTTAAGTTTTTGTAAGCACTTCAAAACGAAGTGTCACTAAATGGGGGTTTACATTACAAACTTTAGAGTGTCCCCCCAAAAGGGGGGATTTGGGGGGCAACTAAAAATGTTTCAATGTAAACCTCCATCAAGTGACACCTAATTTTGAAGTGTCTAAAACTATATATTTTTTTCTTCCTTTTCAGAAGGGATGACAACACATTCTGTGAAATGAAATTTTCACCGCCAGACATAAATTTTGCGAGAATTACTGTAAGTATCTCTTGGCTACTTGAATTTAGGTAGAATTACATGGTAGTTTTTTTGGGACTAGCTGCTTTACCTATGTTTCACAATTAGTTCAGGAAGCAGGATAGAGAGAGTATGGAGGATAGAGTAGCCTAATATTAAATCTTCTTCTTTAAAGGTTCTTTAAATCTTCAGTAGAAAACAGTTATATGCCCAACATTGATGATTTATACAAACAAAACTCGAATATACCATTGCATTTACCTACCAAGAAGGTACTTGGTAGGCCTAATTCTCTTGCTTAGGATCAAATATCAATCCTACTGGTGCATAGTGTAGTAAAATGAATATAGCTTTATTGAAATAAAAAAAAAAAAATGGAATGTCAACATTGACCTGGCTAATGCAAACTGGATAATTGTTAATTTGGCCCAATAAAATGATTTGATTTGATTTTGTGGTTTCCTTCTTTTTCCTTATTTGTTGGTATTGGTTCCCTGAAAGCTCCACCTTCAAAATTTTGACACTACTGGGATCTAGCCCGAGGGGTTCAAGGACATCATTTTATGCAATTTAAATCCATGATGATGATTTTATGGTCTGTATTTTGGCGGATAAGTTGCTTAATTTTCAAAAAGTTTCCGCCCAGTTGGTTGTTTAGTTTTTGTGTTTAACCAAAACAAACACACAGGCAGACATGCAGAAAAGCACCTCTAGTGTAGAAAATGTGTATAAAGTTTACTTAATTTTTGTTATCACTGTCAATAGAAAAACAAACAACTGAAATGTCAGCAGGTTTTACATTTTTGTTATCTGAGTCCATAATCATTTGATGCTGGTTTAAATTAGGAATGTTAGCTAACATTCACAGAATTGTCTACCTTAGCATAGTACATGTTTTCAGCTAAGCTTTTTAAATGTGAATGATGAAGATATCACAAAACCCAAACAATTTACACATCTACCATAGCCATAATGTTCTACCACTTCACCTAAACAATAAAAAAAAAAAATTATTAAAAATTCACAAAAAATCACAAATTATTCATGACATTAAAAACATAAACATAACTGTAAACAATCCTTCTTTGACAGTTCTCATTGCGTTTGACAGTTTTTTGTTGCTGCTTAGTTCAAACTAGCAGAATACCCGTCCTTCGTACAGGGTTGGCATATAAGTATAAAACGCTTATTGCAGTTATAGGTACTCAAGCTTTGCGTTTGCAATGGGGGAGAACACAGTTTGATAAAATTTGCTTCTTTAAGTTTACAGTATACTATACCATACACATCTACCATAGCCATCATGTTCGACCAATTCACCTAAACAATAGAGAAAATTAAATTAGCAAAAATTTGCAAAGTACCTATCACAAATTGTTCATGAAATTAAAATCCTAAACATAACTGTAAACAATCCTACTTTGACAGTTCTCATTGCGTATCACCACAGTTTTTTGTTGCTGCTTAGTTCAAATTAGCTGTTTTCATAAATGCAAAAAGATAATAGTGCTGCATCCTGTTGGTAAATCTTAAAAATGTTTAATGCTTTTCATATCATAAAACTAACTTTTTAATTTGAAACAGCTGACTAAATTCTTTAATTCCATTTAAATATGAATACTCATAAGGTTAACATGGGGAAATACAGAGCCACTGGGGCGGAGCCTGAAAGGATTTTTGAGATAAGAATATGCCTTAATGTTAATCGGGAATGTGAGCTATCATTATGCCAAATTTCAGCCCAATCCGTCCAGTAGTTTATGCGTGATTGAGCAACACACACGCAAACTCACAAACTTTCAGATTTATAATATTAGTAAGATTAGCTGTTTTCATAAATGCAAAAAAAAATATAGTGCTGCACCCTGTTTGGTAAATCTTATAACTTTCTAATGCTTTTGCTTATCATAGAACCAACTTTTTTAGTTGAAACAGCTGACTAAATTCTTTAATTCCCTTTAAATATGAATAGGTACTCATAAGTTTAACATGGGGAACTACAGAGCCACTGGGGCGGAGCCCGAAAGGATTTTTGAGATAAGAGTATGCCTATACGTTAATCGGGAATGTGAGCTATCATCATGCCAAATTTCAGCCCAATCCATCCAGTGGTTTATGCGTGATTGAACTTCAAACAAAGAAACAAACAAACACACAAACTTTCACATTTATAATATTAGTAAGAAAGATTAAATACCATATTAAATAAATGAATATTTCTTTGAAAATCTACTATAAGTTTCCAATAAAAAAAGTATTCTTACTAACCCATTTGCATCGGATGATGTACTAGTACAACAAGTCCGTGATGTACAGTATCATGGCTGACGTACTAGTATGTCAGCCATGAAATTTGAAAATAAAAGTTAAACATTTATATTTACATACATAGCCTACATATGATAGGTATTTAATTTTGATCATCAAAATATTAGATTCCTTGAAGGATTTGATATTTACGTAATATAGGGAGGTATGTACTTATTTTGTGAGAAGTATAAAAAATAGTGTAAACATATCCTAAATACATATAAATATGCATATAACATCCAAAATTATACATACATAGGCCTATACATTTATTTTCAGCTATAAAATACTATAAAAAACATATAAAAATAGTCTAATATTTTTTCAGTCAGGTATTTTCACCTATTTCTTTTATAAATATGTAAAATAACTTAGTGTAAACAACTACTAAATACATATAAATATACAAAATGCATAATTATATATACATTTGCATTTTATTATTATTTTCAGCAATAAAATACCGTACTATATAACATCTTTAAAAATAGTAAAATTTATTATTTTTATTTTTAATGTTTCAGTGATTTTGAGATTTTTGGCAAATAAATACAGTATAAGCATGGGTTAATGAAGATTGAACTAAGTTATTAAATAAAAATAAAAGGAAACCTCAACTATGATAATCTAGGCCTAATCGATAAACTCAATTAGATAAACTCACAAAGTATTTTAATGAACACTGCTTTATAGTCCAGAAATGTTATAGATCTGTTATCTGCTATATTGTTGAGGCAGATAAAGGAAGGTTTCACCAACATTGTAATCATGTTTAGTCATGACTGATATTTCTTGTTCGTCCATTCTTGATCAGAACATCAGTCTTAGTTAGACCTACATGTGGACACATTTTGTCTATGCTTCATTTACAAATTGTGTTAATATTTTTGTAAATTTCTAAAGGTAAGAGTATATGTTTTAAACTCAAAACTTTAAATTAATTCATTACTGTTCTGTAAGGTTTAATGCAATTAGAATTTCTCCAATGTTATTTTTATTTGGATGTGTTTAATGCATGTTGTAGTCACAATTTTCAAAATAAATACTATTGACGCAAAAAATGAGCTTATAATGTTTAGCTTGTAAATTGCATATGAATTTCTGTACGTATCTTTTTTACCACAGTTTAATATACAAAATTCAAAATTAAACTTACATTCTTCAGAAAGGTGAATGTTTAGAAACTATTATAAATCACATTTTGTTCTAAGTTAAGTTAGTCACAGTATTATAAAAGACATTATACACTGAAGCTGTAAACTCACAAATTCAAGAGGAGATAAAAAATATGTGTATTTTGTAAAAAAGTCAAGTGAACAATAACAATTGAATGAAAAATAAATAAATAAATAACTCATGTTGAATCAAAATTAATGTACAGGTAAGTAGTCTGAAGTCACTACATACACATTATAATTCTTTTAAAAACTAATAACCTACTTACTAAAAAAATCATCAATTAAACCCCTCATTTTTAGGAATATTTAGTTACTTGCTTTACCTAAATATGTTGCTTTACTTTACAGATAAAAATGTTGTTGAAATTAAAATAAAACTGTTTCATAACTTATTATTTATAAATTTTAACTAAGGAACTTAAAGTGATAAGAAAATAAATAATAATTTGTTTGTAACCTATAAGTTTTGCATAAAGTTATTGGTTTTGCAACACAAATTAATTTTTTTTATTTCCCGTTTATTCAACAAATAATTTTCAGGCTCATTTCTAAGGGTTTAATTTTTATGGCAAATGTAACTATGACATGAACATACAAAGTATATTTTAACTACAATCTTCTTTATTAAATATAATAGCATTTTATTCATTCAAGCTAGGAAAGTATTTTAAGCTGAAATCTGAATGTCAATCAATCAACCAATCAAAATAACTTTATTTCATTTTATATACACAGTCACATGAATTAGAGTCATTGAAACTGGTTAGTTTTTTGAACTATAATTTTTGAAGAGGGGATTTAAAATATATATCGTTATATTTACGTTATTGATATAGGTTTGAGAATTTGTATGCTGCACTTATTTAATACCATTAGATAAAATCAAATGATTGATTCTCCCTACAATACAATCAAAGGTCATCTATTAGCAGTTGTCTGGGTAACAGAGTGGTTATAGTGCTCGCTTCCAATTCTGAAGTTCGCTGTTTTGATTCCTAACAAGATCGTTTCCAGACCCTGCCATTTGTCATTGGGCTATGAATTAATGCTGCTGTATAACAAAAAGGTCGTCGTTGGATAGTAACAAGACCAAGGTTTGGTTCGTTCCCTTTCAAACGGTAAAAAAAGCCATTGGAACAGAAAACCCACAAAATACACAGCTGTCTGCAAGAGTTATGCTGAAGGTTCTAAGCAAGATTGTTACCAGACCCAGATGCTAATTAATTGTAATAGGTCTATCAATTAATGATGCTGTCTAACATAATATGTTAGCATCAAGACCAGCGACTGGACAGTTCCCTTACAAAAAATGTAAAAAATCAAAAGTCAATAGTGTAAATAGCACCCACAAAAATACTTAAATGGCTATCTAATCTAACCGTGTTCTGCCGGACCCTGAGAAAAGCCATTAGCTTTTAAAGGGTTCAAAATTGGATTGAATTGTTCTTCTTATCAAGCTTTTAACAAATAGTCGTGGCTGGAGAATCACCTTCTGAGTCACCAACAAAGCTATCATCTTACTCAATCAAAACTCATATTTTTCACTCATCCTCCTTTATAAAATACAAACTTTGCAGTGCATACAATAATCCTTATATATAATACGTGAAGGCGATTTCTACAAAACACTACTCCTCCGTTAATAATGGACCGATTTTTACAAACAACGTGTCAAAATAAGGTATTTTTTGTGTAGACACCCCCTTTCACCAATTCCTGTAATAAAAATCCTCGGGCTTTGCCCCACAGGCCATCAAAGTTGGAGTTTCTCCCATAAGATTAACATTGGGGAATCCAAATATTTAATTGTCCCCACTTATTTGAGAGAACGGCTGGGCGTAGAAACTTGGTAGAGGTGTCCAAAGAAAGGTCTTGGTCTGTAGATGAGTTATCAAAAGAAAAACTAATCAAAATCCCTTAGGACTCTGCCCCAGAAGCCTTTAAAGATCCCTTCACAGAGTTGTTTACATTTTGGCCGTGTGAATAATACTTTTTAATGAAACAGCTGTTCATTTTTAAATTGTATTTCAAACAACACACATTTATTGGGAGTTACTGAATTCTACCAAATAAGTATTTGCAATGTTATTTTCTGATTGTAAAATTGATTTTCTTCTTTATCATGTCATGTTTTGCAATATAACGTTCCATTATGTAAGCAGTGGAAAATCCTTTTATCACAGCAATTCTTAAATTATTTCTTATTGAACTATCTTATATCTATTGTACGGGTTGGTGTCTGCCTTTTTTACCACTTTTGCCTACATTTTATCATATTATTCAACACATATGAAATATTTATGAAGAAATATCTGCTCTTATCGTGTCTAATAAAATCCAAACATAGAAACTTTGTCTAAAATGGTTCCCATCTTGACAAATTATTTGCACCTTCCTATATTACGGACTTTGGCACGGTTTGGTAACGTTATTGAAAATAACACGACATTTTGGCTGTAAAAGATGGTACAGAGAGAAAATACGTTTATCAGCTACTGTCATGACAGAAAGGTCATATTCCTTTTAAACTAGATCAAGATCACATAATTCTTTATAAGATACGTTGATTAACCATATGTAAACGTCAATATATACGTAACATCCAATTTACAGTATTTTTGCCTTTTGGAAATGTTCCATTGCTATGTCATTTGCATTATTTGTTGCCTATGAAGCCGCACGACCATATAAACGAGAAGGCCCCTAACAGTACAAGAATAAAAGCCAACTTCACTTCAAGTATTCCACTACATCAAACATTCCGTAGAGAGATTATATTGACAACTTTATGTTATTTATAAGGCTGAGACAACTAACTGACATACCCCATGTCAAGGAATTCCAGCTTTAACAGTAACCCCACAATCAATAATTTCTCAAAACTATGCTAGAGGGTTCATTCATTGGCACAGAAGTACGATATGAACTGACGCGACGTGACGAAGGAAAAATTAAACTTACACTGTAACGGATATACCTCCCTTTGAAGTTAGAATGTCTTCCCAAAAAAAGTTTTCTTTTGAAATAAAATCATATTACACTGATGAAATCACGAAAGTGTTTAACTACAAAAGATCCATCAATACGATTTTAATACTATTTAAACGTTCTTCCAAAGGAAGATATACCATATATTATACTAATAATAACTCCGATGACGTACGGTATGGGGAATATTTTATTCATTGAATGATCAACCAAATTTGGCAACTAACACAATTAATGTCATTATTGTTTTTACACTTATTGCTAAATGTTCAAAATATGTTTATTTCACCCAATTTATCGCAGTTAGATAAATTAACGTAAGCCTTGAAAGTAACCGTCGATTTTGACGGGTTTCACCTAGTCTCATATAATTGTTGATTGTTCCAGATGGAAGATGCTGCAGATTCTACAGATGAACACAAGTTAATCATCGCTTGTTCACCGACCAGCCCTCTGCCCTGCACAGATATTTATCCTGGGCCGTACAACTTTGAGCTCATGCTTGACACACTCACCAACCACAAACGATCTTGGGTGGTGAGTTATACCCACATGACATAGAATAATTGACAGATGTTTTGTCAGCCTTAAAACTATAGTTAGACATAGCACATACGACTTCACAACGTCCTAACTGTAGTTTACTGCTTGTAAGGTTACATGGACTCTTTAGTACAGATTTCAGCAGTTTTTGGTGAGTTTTGCTTTCATAGATAGATACAAGTGAAGGTTTTGTTACTCATGTTTATGATAGAAAATCTACCTTGTGCGCTTAGAGTGTTAAAAGACCTTAGTATGATCATGGAATTTATAGTCTTGATTATCTTACCTTTATTTTTTTTTTTATAAAAAAGAGGTTGGCGGCCTTTTTTAACCTTGCATTTGCCCATCCACATAGACTAAGCGCCCGTAAATTTTAGTGGCAGTGACCAGGATACACATACCGTTAATTTAGTTAATTTGGTTATGGAGGAAATGTGACATGGGATACATCATTACCATAGCTTCGAGGCAACCCCTTTTGCCCCCCCCCCCCCCCCGCTCACTCTCTCCGACTGAACTCGGATGATACCAGAAAGCAAAAGTCAATTTAAATCTCTACGCAATTTTGAGATATGATTTTTTTAGTCTAATGTGTTTATGACAAAGTATCTTTGACTATTGATACTAGACATTCAATCCCAATGTTAAAGCTGTTGCCAATAAAAAAAAAATCAAAATGGATGTGGTTTAATTGAGCCACACTACTGATTGCACTGTTGTAAAATCTTGATTTCTGCTAATACGCCAATGTATAAACAAGAGTCAACTCTGATAGGACGACTTATTGTAAGCTTTAGCATCTGTTTTGTCCTATCAACTGTAGCAAAAAGGTAGATAATATTATTTTAGACACTTTTTCACTCTATGACTGGCTCTATCGACTATGTTCTTTAAACAAAAATTACTATTACTACCAATTGAGATAAGGATGAAACACCAGGGTGTGTATAGTCCAAATATGAGTGAAGATTGCGGTTAGATATTTTTGACATTTTAACAGTTGTCCTCATTCTTAGTGTCATCCAAAGTTCCTGTGACAGATTTAGGCCAGATAACCAAGACTATACCGTGGAGAACCTATTTCAAAGTCTCATATCTCATGTACCACATCATACCTTACACCTCATTTCTCATGTTTCAGTACTCGGAGGTGCTACAGAAAGTGTTTATTGACATGAACAAGACGTTGTTGGTACAGTTCAGGCTGAGCAAGGCTGTGGGGGGACTGCAGGTGCGAGCTTTGCCTGTCTACTCCACAGCTGATTTCCTCAACATCCCTGTACAGAGATGTGCCCTCCATATGCTCAACAGTGATCCTCTGCATCAGGGTAACATAACCTCACATTTCAGTTGCATTTAAACATGGGACGTTTTCTGTTAATTCACCACCACTACTTTTTGTCATGATAAAATGCTATAATTGTTTAATTAACATGTATAGGGACTAGGTTGGCTTAAGTTTTGTTAGGGTAGGTTAGGTTAGAACTGAGATATTACCAAAAACGTCAGTCGTGTATTGTTACATACAAACTAAGTAGTGGTAGATATAATTAATTAACGGAAAATGTCCAAAAACTGTAATAGCTTCTGGATTTTTGGAATGAGAAAATGTCAGGTTTATTTTACATGTGCAATCAAACAAAATGTGCATTTTGACTATAGTTATTTCTTATACTATAGCTTATTAACTATACTATAGCTGTTTCATACTTCTAAGTATATCATCAGAGACTGAAAGATATTAACATCTTAGGGAAGAAGGGGAAGAAATCTACCCCCTTCACTTCATCCTACCATTAAAATAACTGTATTAAAATAACTATTAAAATAATAGTAGGCGGGGGTATTAAAATAACTATAGCGTTCAATATTTAATCTAAAAAAAATCTAACAAGAGCCTTCTCGATCCATTCTACCACCCTACCCGATATACGGATTGTGGATATTTATAGGTATGCACTGTGGATGGGATACTCCCTGGTGTGGATTAACGTCCGCACTAGTGAGTATTACGACTATCCGCAGTACTATCCTGATAATTAGACCAATTCGTATATACCAAGGAAAAAATGTGGTTCGGATTCCACTATAAACTGTAGGTCCCTTAGTTGCCATTAGCTGTTTGGGCTATTAATTAACAGCTGTGTCTAAGGAATGTCGGCCTTAGTCACTAACAAGACTACAAGATCGCGCCACTCATCATACACTCATCTCCATTCATACTTGGCTTAAAATACCTACATTGTATGGTCGCCATTTCATAAGAAAGTATAAAGTATAAAGTATTCAGCCTGAAATTCCACCACAGAATGTATTGCTTTGTAACGAGCAGTAAAGGTTTGAAAGTAAAACTTCTCGTATTGGTTGTCCAGCTCACTCGGAAGACAACAAGACGTGCTACTGCCCGAGCTACAACTGGGTGAGACATGTAGTCCAGTCGTCCCACGCAGGAGCGATGTACGACTATGACAGCTCTAGTGATCGTCACAGCGTAGTGGTACCCCTGGAGCTGCCTCAGCCAGGCTCTGACACGGTGTCTGTGGCTTATCAGTTCACCTGTAAGACCAGCTGTCCTCAGGGTATGCAGAGGAGACCCATCTCTATCATCTTCACTCTGGAGACTGCCCAGTGAGTAAACAATTCACTTGAGCGATCAATGTAGAATGAAAAAAAAATGGCAAGACGGTTAATTTTATGTGTTGACGTAATAGCCATTGAAAATTGATTCATCATACCTGTATTTATGCAATACATTGTGCTATGGGGAAACTAGTTTTGTTTATAAATTTAGCCACCCCTTTAGACACCCTTTTAGACATCCCTTGACAGCCGTCGACTTTCTGCCACTAACATTGCTTTTTTTTCACCTAGGCTAATTTTTTTTTTATCATAGTTGATTTATTTCACCACTTTTACTATCTTGCCATTCCAGTTTGCTCATATTCATATCTCCTTTTTTATTTCTTTTTCTTCTTTCTATTTTGTAAAATAATGATTTCTTTGGACGCAACTACAGTCAACGCACAGGCTCAGTGCCCATGTTGGCTTATTCTATAAAACTATGTACAATTTTTTGTTAAACATAGATGTTATGTAAAAAGTTAATTTAGTTTATTATTCTTTAAATTTTACATTTATGTTTTTCTTCTCTCCGCTGAATATTCTTGTACATTTTTGAAAGTATTTTTTTTTATATAAAGATTAAATTACATTCATTCATTTAATGATTTAATTGGATAAACGGTTTATCGGACATTGCGTTGTCAATGTTTAATATCAGAATAGTTTTTATATACAGGTAAAAAAATAGCCATTATACAGTATAAAGCTTTCATAGAAAAAAAAGCTGTGGCAAATGTATGGAATACAATAATGTAGTTTTTCTGATGGTGTAAACAAAGCTAAATACAAAAATCATCACACTTTTTATCTCAATTTTGTATGGATCCTACAAAAGAAGTTTCTGCAAACAATTCTTCGAGACAGTGATGCAGACTTATAATGCTGGTTCACACATTGTATTTGCGAAAAATCATAGTTGATTTATTATTTAGTTTTATTATTTAGTTATCATAGTTGATTTATTTCACCACTTTTACTATCTTGCCATTCCAGTTTGCTCATATTCATATCTCCTTTTTTATTTCTTTTTCTTCTTTCTATTTTGTAAAATAATGATTTCTTTGGACGCAACTACAGTCAACGCACAGGCTCAGTGCCCATGTTGGCTTATTCTATAAAACTATGTACAATTTTTTGTTAAACATAGATGTTATGTAAAAAGTTAATTTAGTTTATTATTCTTTAAATTTTACATTTATGTTTTTCTTCTCTCCGCTGAATATTCTTGTACATTTTTGAAAGTATTTTTTTTTATATAAAGATTAAATTACATTCATTCATTTAATGATTTAATTGGATAAACGGTTTATCGGACATTGCGTTGTCAATGTTTAATATCAGAATAGTTTTTATATACAGGTAAAAAAATAGCCATTATACAGTATAAAGCTTTCATAGAAAAAAAAGCTGTGGCAAATGTATGGAATACAATAATGTAGTTTTTCTGATGGTGTAAACAAAGCTAAATACAAAAATCATCACACTTTTTATCTCAATTTTGTATGGATCCTACAAAAGAAGTTTCTGCAAACAATTCTTCGAGACAGTGATGCAGACTTATAATGCTGGTTCACACATTGTATTTGCGAAAAATCATAGTTGATTTATTATTTAGTTTTATTATTTAGTTATCATAGTTGATTTATTTCACCACTTTTACTATCTTGCCATTCCAGTTTGCTCATATTCATATCTCCTTTTTTATTTCTTTTTCTTCTTTCTATTTTGTAAAATAATGATTTCTTTGGACGCAACTACAGTCAACGCACAGGCTCAGTGCCCATGTTGGCTTATTCTATAAAACTATGTACAATTTTTTGTTAAACATAGATGTTATGTAAAAAGTTAATTTAGTTTATTATTCTTTAAATTTTACATTTATGTTTTTCTTCTCTCCGCTGAATATTCTTGTACATTTTTGAAAGTATTTTTTTTTATATAAAGATTAAATTACATTCATTCATTTAATGATTTAATTGGATAAACGGTTTATCGGACATTGCGTTGTCAATGTTTAATATCAGAATAGTTTTTATATACAGGTAAAAAAATAGCCATTATACAGTATAAAGCTTTCATAGAAAAAAAAGCTGTGGCAAATGTATGGAATACAATAATGTAGTTTTTCTGATGGTGTAAACAAAGCTAAATACAAAAATCATCACACTTTTTATCTCAATTTTGTATGGATCCTACAAAAGAAGTTTCTGCAAACAATTCTTCGAGACAGTGATGCAGACTTATAATGCTGGTTCACACATTGTATTTGCGAAAAATCAGTTGATAAAGTAAGAATAAAAAAGAAAAAAACTTCATTATGTTGTGACCCGGATAGGAAACAACATTTTGAGGCTACTATTACCCAAGTTTGAGGAGTTAGTTATTATAAATGATATCACCAAAAGAAGGAGAATACACACTGGAAGCAAGCATTTCCTTGCCAAACAAAACTGGAAATAACTTTGAGATATATGGCGAGTGGAGACTCCTTAAAATCACTACAACACAGTGGCAGCCCTAGAGATTACGGGGCCCAAGGCGAAGTTCAATAACGGGCCTCTTACTACCTGAAATACGGCTGTGCGGGCCCCGCGTATGCCTTTATGTAGGGCCGCCTCTGCTTCAATACCTCTTTAGAGTACCAGATAATACAATTTTTGCATGAATCATGTGACTCTTTAAGGTTGGCTACTATCAACTACTCCCCACAAAAGTTGAACATGTCCGACTTTCTGCGGTAATAAATTTTTACTCGTTGGCGAGTGCTACCTGCAGCTACTTTCTGTTCTCACAAAGCGATTAGTAGCGGCTACTCTAGTCGCAGCGAGTAAAATCGCCATGTGTGAACTAGTCTTTATGTGTATAGTTTAAGCTGAATATGAAAGCATAGTGAGAGTTGAATGGGGTGAGCTAGCTTTGTTAGACTTGTTTGTTAGCTTTGTTGACCAAGATCGACTGTTTCATTAATCAAAAAACCCAATGATCAAACCCAATCAATTGTCATGTCAAAAACAAATACAGGGTGTTTATAGAAGAATGCCGGGATTTAAAATGGTAATTGCTTGGATACTATTTAAGGTAACTAAACGTTTTTTACGTTAAATTGAAGCTAAAATAACTATGTTTTGTTTCCTGTGTAGCAAAGGGACAGAACTTTGACCTTGGCATGTACAAAACAGGTGCACGGTAATAGGCCACTATTGCTACTCACGCGCCAGTTGCCAGTGCAATGTTTTTGGCGCAACAGAAGGCACATAGTGTAATCTGTGGTTTACAGAGTTTATATCGATTGCTAAATTAAACTAAATTTAAATCTACTTGATGATAAATAAATTTGACGCTGGTTTAATGAGTTTCGTGGCACTCTAGTGTTTTGAAAAGACATTCACTTGGACATTCAGCTAAAAACAAGCAATGACATAGTCAAAGAAATCCAACAATTCTGCATCGGAAGCCCCAAAACATTGATTGCCCGATAAAGTCTTCAGTTTAACATACCTAAATCAAAACTTGATGATGTTATCTGTAAAAGATAGAGTTTTTGTGCCTAAAAAGATTCAGTTAAGATATGAGATAAACCCGTCGATCGCCCTAAGCGTACAGACTTAGACAGTTTTACGCTCATCTAAAATTGATTAAAATCCTAATTTTATTACTTTTTTCCGAATTGTATAAAAAAATGAGAAAAAACTTTGTACTTTTCCCTTCAATTTGATTTTATTTAATTATCTTTGAATAGTCCCCGAGCAACGAACATTTAAAATCCCGGCATTCTTTTATAATTACTCTGTATATAGCACAAAAGCTATAGGATACTCTACCTATGCAATTCCATTATCTATCAAGATAAAAATTTGACTTTAAAAATATATGATTGCTTGCTCTTTCTTATTTGCTATTGAAAATATGCATCTGGACCACTTTACAGAATGATATATTTTTTCTGTGTAGCCTATGTCTAAATTTCACTCACTTAACTCATCAGATGTGACTTTAGCTTACCATATAAACTTGTATAACTGTGGTGTAATGTTTTTTCAGGGGAGATGTTGTAGGGCGGCAATGCTTATCTGTGAAGATCTGCAGTTGTCCCAAGAGAGATAAGGAGAGAGAGGAGGCAGACAATCCGTTGTCAGAAGGATGGTCTTCTCTTGACACGTGCACCAAGCCCAAGAAGAGGTCAGGGGAGTACAAAGGCTACTCAAAGAAGGCTAAAATGGAAGCTAGTTTACAGTTGGTAGGTTCATGTCAATAGAGTTTTTCGCATTTTACTCAAGCCATTTCTGACGGAGGAGCAATCTATTTGTCTCATTTTAATATCATGGAATTTTGTTCAGTGTGTTGTGTTAATTTTTTTTAGATGGTAATATAGTGTTTTTGGTTATACCATTTCTCTGAATACAACAGTCCCAACAACACCAGTACCAAAAACAAAAGATATGGTTCTTTGGGTTTAAGCTTATTCCTGACATCAGGATTATCCAGTTACTAGGCTCCGCTTTGACCAAGCATTTAGTTACAGGTTTTGAACCAATTTAGATAAAAAGTTACTCTGTCATTATATGAAGATAAAAACTTATAAATTTCAATATCTCATTGTAAATGTTATTAGGTCTCTAGAAGTGCTTCACAGTTCTTACTTATTCTTGGATTATTTCAATTAACATTTTTGAAAATCCATACACTTTAATCATATTAGCGATCTGCCAGTCTAATTTCATCCCGTTGCCAATGTATGTTATTGACTTACAGAAAAGGAATCTCAAGATTACTAATGCAATTGTATCTCAACACTCTGTCTAAATCACAAAGTAAGGAAAACATATCTCATGTCAAGTCCAAGTTATTTATTTCAAAACATTTCTTTTTGTTATTACTCAATGATGTTTTATTTTTATTTCAGAAAAATTCAAATGAGTTTGAACAGAGGCTTGAACAAAAACTAGACAATTTGTCAAAGCAAATCTCCAAACTGACTGATATGATAGCTCGTATGGAGGAATTACAAACAAAAATGGTCGAGGCTTTGTTGCAGCTAATGCGACAAAATACTTATAAAGATATCTAAGTGGCCAATGAAACTGGTGAGTAGAAAGATCAGATATGTACAGTAAATTTTTCAATATCTTTGAGTAGGAGAGTGTTTAAATATTTTACTCAGTTTTATAGTTTCAGTTCTTCTTTCCATGTGGTTTTTTTGTATAACACTAATGTTTAAAAAAGAACGTACGGATTATGAAAACTCCTAAGTATCCTAAGTCTCTATAAGTTATATAATCAACTTCAAGCAATACAACTATAGACATTCCATCCTCCCCCCCAACCCCACAAAAATATCTAAAACCTGGTTTAGAAAAGGAACTCCTAAGTATCATAAGTAGGTATCCTAAGACTCTATAAGTTATATAATTAACTTTAAGCAATACAACTATAGAAATTTCATATTTGGTTACATGTCCAATCTGGAAGCTGGATAGCTGAGCTGGTAAGTGTGGTAATAGTGGTAATAGTGCTTGGATTGTGATTAGAAAGTTGCTGGTATCTTAAAAAAATTCAGAAGCTTTTTGATGGTACAAAGCTGGACTCACGGCTTTCTTTGATCTTAGAACTGATGTCCTGTCTAAAGAAAGACCCAATCTTAGTCAGTAACAAAGCTACTTTTCATCTAGTTCCACTCTACAGTTATCCTGAATTTATTATTTACGAGGTGGCCCCTAACCGTCTATTTCGACGGATTTCACCTAGTAGTAAATATTTAATTTCAACAAAATCAGTAAATCTACCCAATGCGTTTCATTGAATTGAAAAATAAATAACAGCAATTAAATTCTACAGCTGATCAAAATGTAAACAATTATGTTCTTCATAAGGATAACATGGGAACTTAAACAGCCACTGGGGCAGAGCCCAAGGGACTTTTTCAAAAATGTAAGGCCAGTTTGCAAATCTACGTGACACGCTCTTTCCAATGAGACGTCAAAGGATAAAATCGGTTAACAAATGGCGGAGGAGTTCAACCGACAAAGTTTCATGTAGCGTATTAATTATATAGATGTTCAGCTTGAAATAGTTAAACAATGTACGTCCCTATCTTAGTGAACACTTCAGTGCATGTATACAGTCTAAACAAAACAAATGTAAATTGTAATCTAAATATTCTTCCTACTTCTGGGTAAACTTTTTAATATGTGCTCTACTCTATTGTAACAGTAACAGAAGTTGAGCAACAGTTTACCAATTCGTCTATTTGGTCGTAATAGTTTAATAGTTTTAAACGTGGTAAATAACAGGAAATAAATAGTAAACATACACATGACCTTCAGGATAGAAAAAAATTACAAGTTTATTAAAAAGCAAGTTTATAAATTGTAATACCATCTTCAACAAAAAAATATTTCATCTACTTTTGACTAAAGATTGTGTTTGAAATTATTATATTTACCTTAAGTTGGGTTTTGAAATTCGATGATGTTAGGTATTACTACATAGTAGTTGGCTATGCAACAAACTCGTTTATTTATCAGCAATTTCAAAAAAAAATATTTTTATATTAAGGAACTTTGAAATGTACCTTCTCATTCATTAGGAATGTGCTTAACTTTAACTATGATTATTAATTTTATTGTTATAGTTCGGCCGCTTAGAAAACGACCTGCGCGCTAATGCTAAACCAATGCTGGAGGAGGTCGCTTTCTAAGAGGCCGAACTATAGTGGTACATTTACTATTATTTGCTTCTAGCAACCCTCTAGGGACAAAGTTATTGAATGAATTGAAATATTTGAACATGGTGTTTTCTATCAAGCTTTATTTTTTTGTTTCAGATGTTTTGGATAGAAGTTAATATAAACAAGTCTGTGAAGAATCTCTCTTTCAGTGCTATAAAATATTTATTTTAGAAGTGTTATTTTAATTTTGTTTTTAATTTGAACTATCATATTAGTTAATTTAACTAACATTATTGTTCTTAATCGTGTGATGCCTATTGTTGTGAAAACAAGATCTCAAGTGTTAATTTTAGTTTTTTTATACATTTATTATTATTAATTGTTGTTTAAAACTTATTTTGTTTTAAAAGTAAGTTTGTTTCACCACTCAAGTGTTTATGATTTGTTTTGTGTTGAAAATACATTATTTAAAATGTATTGTTATTTTATTTCATCATAACCGGTTATAAATTCTAGTTGTTCTGCCTTTGCTTCACAACAGGAAAGAAATGTGGGTCTTTAAATCTACTGTATAAAATAATCACACACACTTACCATGGATAAAACAGGCAAATCTCAACCGTACTTATTGCGTTATTTTAGTGAAAATCTCTGGCAAACTGTGTGGCGGAATCAAAACTAATCGTGAAATATAAACATCAATAATGAGAATCAAAAGGTTTTTGGTTTAACTTTTTGGGTCTGACTTACGGGAGGTAAAAATGAGGCAACGATGGTATCATAGTTTAGTTAAAAATTCCTCCGTGAACAGCGCTGTAGTAGAGAGCACAGCGTGTAATTTTTATTTCACTATTAGTTTGGCCAACAGTGTCTTTTGGAGGCCTCTCGTTTTCTTCTGATCCATGATGTCATACTTAATTATAAAATTAAGAAAAATTATAAAATTAATCTTATTCATAACCTAACCAAACTTGCTGATAATGAAAAAATCAAAAGAAGGTTTACTAATAGAAAAAATAGTTCAATTAAATATTTCAACAAAAGATGTAAAGTTAAGAAGTAAGTTAATCGCATTCTAAGCTAAATCGTTGACAAAAAGTTAGTGCTATCGGTGGGAATCGATCCGGCTACCTTCAGTTCATCAGCCAGGAACGCTTCCACTACACCACTGAGGACGATGGCTCTATACCGTATCGTTGCGGTAATGTTGTTCCCTCAAGAGAAGAGATCTGACAGCTGATGTCATCGAAGGCTCTTCTATACCTCCCTTGAGTAAATACCTAACTTTTTGGTTTAACTCAGGTAAAAAGCAAACAAACTGTTATACATCAAAACAGAAACAGCTGAATTGTATTCAAAATGTGATTAAATACAGCCCTTTAATAATTTAGGTTCGTACTCTTAGGAGAGGCTTTATCGAGAAACTGATATTTTCAGGGGAAGTTTCAGATCAAGTCCTGTCATTTAAGTATTTGGTTGATAGGCGTTTGGCTTACCGTTTTCTCATATAAGTTTAAAGTTTGTGACCTTTATTAGCTTATAGATAGTTAATTTAATTCAATATCTTATTTCAGTTGTTTTAGAGCCAATCTGACGATTGAGATTGATAAGTTTAGAACAGCCAGGAGAAAACCTATCAGCTCATTTGATATAAGTGTGTAAATGAGTTGCGTTTTTCAGTATGACAGCTGCTATACACTAGCAAAGTAGTGCCGAGTACACAGTGGCTAATAAATGCCTGAGTTGGAACTCACAACAAAATCAACTGTTCAATCAACATATAACTGTTTGCTTGCTTGGATGGATGTGCCCCCCGCCACAGAAAACATAGTATGTTTTCTGTGCCCCCGCCCACAACTCTACCACAAAAAACATGAACTATCTTTATATCAGTGCCTTAGACTTAACCATCATGCCTTAATTAATCAATACTTTTGGGGTATAGTTTTTTAGATTTCCTTACTTTCCTATTTTTTATTATATATTTATATTTTTACTTTCCATATTTTCCTTATAATAGTACAATTTGTTGGATAGCTAAAATACTATAGATTATATTCGTTCTATTACCTCTCATACGTTATTAAATGATAACTTGATAGTGTCTTGTTCCTGTCTGTTTAATATAAAAACACAAGATGACAATTTTTTTTTCTAAAGTTTTAAGACAGAATCCTCCTTGGGCAGTAGGTTGGAGAGTCCTGTACTAAAATCTCTAACAGAGGTGAGTTCCAGGTATGAGCATTGTTTTAGTATTTTAATTGAGAGAAGCAAGATGTTATTGTTATAATGCTCACCTTCAAACCTGAAGGTAGCTGGTTAAATTCCAAGCAAAATAATTTCTGAACCCAGATGCCATTTGTTTTTGAGTTATCAATTAATGTTCTAACAAAATGTTGATGCTAGATAAATTAGTAACAAGTCTAATGTTAGGAGTTTGGGCCATTCCCTTACAAAAAGATAAAGATGCCAATGGTGAAGACAAGCACCATTGTACCATACACCATAGTAAGTGGTACCTAGCTACCGTATTGAGTATTTTGTCATTCATCATGCTCTTTAAACCAAACTATTATTTTTTTATAACAATGAGGTAGGCCTACCTAAAAGTTAAATTGCAAAATGAAAATGATTAATCAAGATAATTTAAGTAGGTACCTACTACCACAGAAAACGTACTACTATACCCAGAATGCCAACCGCATGGTAAAAAGCATTAAGCGGTTTGAGAGAGCTTTGCCTGTCAATCCGTAGGCAGCGCCACCAGCGTTGCCATGCAATAGCATAGCAACGCTGGTGGCGCTGCCTACAGATTGACAGGCAAAGCTCTCTCAAACCGCTTAATGCTTTTTACCATGCGGTTGGCATTCTGGGTATAGTAGTACGTTTTCTGTGCTACTACCTACCTATAAATGTTCAACTTGAAATAATACGGTGTACACTAATTATCAAAGGGAAAACAATTCTCAGGAAACATGTAATTAATTTTAAGGAAAAACAAATATAAAAAAATTCACTTCACTACGAACAAAATGATTGCTTCCTGGAACAAAATTAATCACTCTTTAATGTCACCACGTTGATCCAATGCTTCATTTGGAGGATAAGCCATCTGCCCAAGGAATTCTATTACCGTTCTTGTTGGTCTACCAGACATTCCTTTTTTAAGATATGTGGTTTTACCGTCTTCATGCATAGTGCCAAATGAGTCGATAAATGCCCAGTTAGGCTTACAAGTGAACTGATTAAGCAAAGCTGTTGTAGTCGCCGGTATTCCTCTCCTGAAGTACTTTGACAAAACCGACAAATCCGCACAAGTAAAATCTTTCACTTCTCTTTCAAACATGTTCCACAACGGTAGTTTCCAAAGTCTGTCTCCAGTATGAATAGAAGCAGTTTTTAGCAGTTGCCACAAATGTTCATTTTGAGTGTAAACAGCGTTAGTAGACAAATCAAAGGAGGTTTGGATCTCTTTAGTCATAGTTGCAAGGGTTAGTACATATTTAGGGTTGAATTGTTGAGCATAACATAGCGTGTCTGCTAGCATCAAAGTCCCGTTAAAGTCTCTAGGAGAAATTAAGATTGATTTCCCACTGGCAGACTTGACAATATCACGAGGTCTAAATGCTGTCGCACCAGGCATGTTTTCACCGAGTGGTATCAAGCCTTTAACATTTATCGGTAGCCCAAGATTCGCCAGTGCCCTGATTGTCGCAGCTACAATCGCAGCTCCTCCCATGTCTCCTCGCATGTGCTTCATTTCCTCGCAGCTTTTGATGCACAGACCTCCACTGTTAAAAGTCAGCCCTTTACCAATCAAGACAATGGGTGGAACAGCAGGATCACACCCGTTGTACGTCATCTCCAAAAGAAACGGAGGTTGAGGAGATCCTTTTACGTTGGCTATAAATGCATTCATGTTGTTTTCTCTCAACCAAGCTTCTGGCCGAAGACAAACGTCAACATTGGTCTTACACAGATTTTGCACAATGGTGTGACTAAAAGATCTCGGTGTTAGCAAATTTGCCGGTAGTTCCATCAACTTACGAGCAAAGTTTTGTGCCTCTGCTTTTTCAAGTCCTATGCGCCATTTTTTCCAGTCACAATCTCCGTACATTTGAACATCTGGAATTTTCACAGATCTGTTCTTATGAGCTCTGAGAAGTTGGTTTTCCCACAGTGCCATGTAAGCCCCTTCTGCTGTAGATTCAGGGTCTTCAAAACTGTCTACAAATATTTTTTGGACATTGAGTGACTGGAAGTAGCGAGTAGCTAAGCCGACGGCTTTTCTTATATTTTCCTTAGATTCGTCTCTCTGCTCTGTCTTACTGTAACCTGAATTATTTTCTCCGAGTCCAACAACAGCTACAACACTAAATACTGGTTCTACTTTTGGAAATACTCTTATTTCTCCTAACTTTGGAAGTGGTCCAGAAGCCTTCAACAATTCAACAAGTTTTCCATTTACATTATGATTGAATAAAGCTGCTGCCTTGGTCAGGCAGACAGTACCTCCAGAAAATTCATCTTCTGGATACACTCCTAATACAAGAGCAGATCCATCATCTGCTGCTACACAAGATAACCCTCCCTCGGCTTCTGCCTCTCTACTCCATGAATTAACTGGACATTCACTCTCAACTGCAAATAATCTAGGCAGTTGTTGCCTGTAGGGGAATGGGCATGGGAAAGGTCTGCTCATTACTTTTGTAATTGTGGAAAACATGTTGATGATTTATCCAAAATAATTATAGTTACCTATGTTAGTATGTAGTTAGTAGTTAGTAATGTAAGATTACACAATCTTTTATGATTACTTAATTTAGAAACTTACTTTTTTGTGCCTATATTCACTATAAATTTTCTTCTGAAAGCAACAAAAAATTTGGAATAAACAAAACTGAATATCCACAACAAATCACATGGTTTTAATTGTTGATACTCAATACTGACTGTCCTTAATTTGTTTAAAGTATTGTTCAATATTTTAAAACTTTATTCCCATTACTATATGAAATACTAATTTAAAAAAAATTGTTTTTTATACTCAAAGTAATTGTAATTATTTATTTATTTGGATATTTAAAAATCCCCAAAGATTTAGACAATTATATTTTTGTTATCTAATTATTAGAAATAATGTGTTTTTTTTTTTTTTCAAGATAAAAACAAAGATTCAGGATAAAAATGTTATGGTAAGTAAAAAACTGTATTATAGAAGTAATGTGTATATGGACACCACATTGTGTTACTGGTTAACAAAGTAGAATGACCGGTCGCTGTATGACTTGTTATTTTACGAATTTATGATTTTTGTTTGTCTCCATATTCTTTATTTGTTGTATTGTCTTTATGTTTATTTAATTGGAACACAAACGAAGAACACTCTGTTGGTTTAATTAATTATTGTAATTAGGTTTCATATATTGTTTTGGTACTATGAATGAAATGAGATTTCATCAAATGACTAAGTGTTGTATTTGTTCATTGAAAATAGTACCGAAATATTAACAGTATAATGTAGCCAAAATTATGACAGAAAAGAGAAAGAATGTAGCTTCAATATGAAAGATTTATGTAAAAGATTGGCCGAAACTTTCATTTTCAAACACTGAAATATCAAATTTGTCCATACCCCCACAATCCATTTACCCCAAAAAATAACCTCTAACACTTTATTCTTTTCTCCCTTTACCTGGCTCAGCATAAGGGGCAATTTCAGTCTTTCTGGTTTTGAAGGGTGACTCTTAGTATTCTTAAAAAAACTGGGCAGTTGGTACATCATTTCAAAAGTATCAAAAATATCTTGGGGCTTGCTTTCACTACACGATAGGGTCCTCCCATTGGAGCCCCCTTTCAAGGGAGGGCTTCTGGAGAATGGATATGCCTCTGAAAATAGTACCTAATGAAATCTCTTTGAAATGTAATATTCTATCTATCAATGCAAGTTTTATCAAAATATCTTGTCAATTTTTCAATCTAGAGGTAAAATGTTCAACATATACACTGAAAACCTAAAAAAACTTATTACGTATAAATAGAAAACGTGTGAGTTTGGGACATTTATGCTTATAAGACATTTTTTCCAGTTTTGACCCCAGGAACCATTTACTGAAGTTTGTCAGGGTTCCAGTGAAACACCCTGTATATATATATGTATATATATATATGAATTTGAACGGAGGGTGTTAAAAGTAAATCCTAGGTCTTACCATGAGACCTATGGTAATAGCTTTTTCCCTAGATGGGAAATTTGCTCAAATTAAAATCTCTACCAAAGCATGTTTTATTTTCAGTACATTTTATTCTAAATTATGTAGGTCTAAACATGAATGAAATTGTTTTAGATTCGTTTGAAATATTGCAGAGTCTAGGTTTTGAACATTGCCAGTGATGCCAACTACATCATACATGGTTAGTCAGCTGTTCGGGTGCATCACTGCTGTGAGCCAGCTGTGAACTGTATAAAGCTAGGGCGTCTCTCTCTCCCGCCGTTTCCCCACACTGTCGGACCGGCTCCGAGGTCAGGTCTACTATCAGGTTAGTCCATCCCTTATCAATATCATTGGGTCATCTGTCTTATCATCGGGTCAGCAAATGATAAGGAAACACGTGGTGTGCTCGACAAGCATGCTTGACTTACATGCTAAACTTGCAAAATTACTCATCTCATAAAAATATTAAGTTTATTTCATCAAATAGATTTTTTATTTAGAAGTAAATCAACTATAAGAAAATATGTATAGATAGACCTCTATTATTTAAAAGTATAATAAGTTTGATGTTTCAAACTTTGTTACAAACATTTTAAGTTGAATACGAAAAAAGTCAGCTATTTCTTAGGGTTTATTTTGACTAAGTACAAATCGTGTTTTTCTCATTTGCTGTTTTACTGCGTTTATGGCAGAAATATTGCAACTAAAACTTTCTAAATCGCTAAACACTGATACTTAAATACTTAACATGTTGGTATTCAATTTTTTTTCTTTATACTGGCTAATATTTTTGACTTTCGTTTATTTATTTATTTTTATTGAATAATTTTTGGTGTAAACTGTAGTTGTAAAAAATCAATTTGAAACATAATCAAAACAAGACTTTTCGAAGCGCTTAATATTTGTTTGGACATTTCTGTTTTTGTTAAAGACAAGTTCAATTTGAGCTTTTACAGGTCTGTTAGGCACTTAAACACTTCCATTTCACGTCCGTTGGCTGTCACATGTCCCATGTACAACATGCGTATGTATAAAACCTGAGTGATTGGTCCCAAACCCATCCTACAACATGTGGCTGCAACTTGTTTTAATGGTACGGTAACTTTATTCAGCATTGCCTCCAGGATTGATTTGAGACAGTATAAAATAGGTTTTCACCACACTATGATGTTTTTGGCTGTATTACATACGTTAATTGGTGGCTGAAAGTTAAGTTTTGCTGGCCATGCCAGCTGTCATCGTAATTTGGGGACCAAGCAGGTTTTTACAGGCCGGGGCCGCAAAATCAGCTGTACTTACTTCAAACATGAATGCATTTTAAATACACAATCAAAATCCATAGCATTGCAATAGAATTGTGCTATTGTCACCGTTGCCTAGCAACTATTTATTTTTATTTTTGCTGATTCCTCAAATTATTTCTTCACATAACTTTAAAGTTGTAGCTGTGTTGACTATCAGTGTTCATTATTATAGTGGTGAATAGTGGTAATAGGGTAAAGTGTGGTGAAAATTATTTCTTCACATAACCTTAAAGTTGTAGCTGTGTTGACTATCAGTGTGCATTATTATAGTGGTGAACAGTGGTAATAGGGTAAAGTGTGGTGAAAAATAGCGTTCGTACCACGGACCGAAATGGTATTACAGCTCTCGATCGATTTAAGTTCTCGACTTCGTCTCGAACTTAAAAACTATCTCGAGCCGGCAAAACCTCATTTTCGGCCCTAGGTACGAAATATACTATTACGTGCCTTGCGTCGTCAATCCTTGAATAGTCTTTCAAGCGACTAGTTTCGATACTGACGTTTCATTTTCAAGCCTTGTCGTATAACATAAAATTATTTGAACATGAAGTCGTCGTCAAAATACACAAATATAACATTTAACACGACCAAATAAGTTACAGAAAGATGCGCGGCCGGCCATAACACGCACGACGAACACGGCCTACGATAACGTATAGCGTTTTGTTGTAACATTCGATATCATGGGATTTTTATAAGATTCGCAATCATCTCGAAAAAAGCCTTACAACATCTTATATATTGTTTGTATAATCTGTTTCCTATATGACTTATTAATAATAATATCCACTAGATTGTTAAATGACGCATAGGAAAGTGCAATCATAGACTGACCAACACAAGGGGGTATGTTTAATCTAAGGTACAATGTTAGGTCGGATCAAATAAATTTCAAATAAACATGTGGTATTCACAAAATGAATATGTTCACTTCAATTATCAATTAGTTGAGGTGGGGACGCCTCCTAGGTGTGTATTTTAACCATTTATTTTAACCCAAATATGAGCGAAGGATGAGTGTGTGGATGTAGAAAGTTGATGATCTGTGTAGCTGTGTTACTGACTAAGATCATCTGTTTCATCAACTAAAAAAAAAAAAAAAAAAACTGCTGTAAACGATCCACGCACGGGCGCTTAGTCTATGTGGACGGGCAAATACAAGGTTAAAAGAGGCACTCAACCTCTTTTATAACAAAAAAAAACTTCAAAAGCATGAGGAATTTTTACGGTGGTGGGCTACCGTAACATTTCTCATTCACAAAGTAGTATTTCGTTTACGTTATCTAGTCCTACTGATAACGCTCAACCCGTTATCATCTAGCTTTATTAACATATTGTGAAATAAAGCTTAAACTTTAAATTGGAAACATTGGTAAAAGTTACCCTGTGTCTAATTTTGGGCTTATATTTCACATTTGAATATACACTACTGTGAGACAGGTATTCAATTCCCATGTTAAGGTTGTAGAATAAAATGAAATTGAGCTGCCGATGGAGCGTTTTGCTAAAAAAATACCGTTTTATTTTTTATGCTTCAACTTTTAACTGCGCCAACTTAAAGGGTAACTTTTATTGAGAAATTAAATTTCTTCTATTATATCCCATCAACTATTACGTTATCAACAAAATAAAATGGAATTTAAAATGTAGTGCAATCCATGAGAATATCATTCAACTTAATTATGTTGTGAATGAGCTACATACAGCTGGTGTAGATGTACAGATGTCTAATTCAGCCACTTAATTTACATGACATAAATACAAGATAACAAATTAAAATGGTCCCTTGTGGCGCAATGTGCCACAAATTTATCCATAATATTTGGTATGCTTTAACAACCAAATTAAAGTTCAACTATACACATTAAAATAATCCTAATCTTTTCTCCATAAAGAATACACTATATCTTTGAAGGCATGTGGGTCAAAACCCGAAGGTTTTAACCACATGAATTAACGAGAGGTGGAGTTTACATAAAACACTCCGTTTGTACACATCGTCTGTAAAAATCCGTCCATTATAAAGGGAGGAATAGTGTTTCATAGAAATCGCATTCACGTAAAAGATACTATAAAAAAATAGTTGCACTGTATGTAGAAGTCTAATTCATTGACCACATAGGACCAAGAAACAAATCTTCATAATAAACAAATTTACAAAAGAAAGCGAGTCAATAAAAACA